ATTGAAAATTTATTATATTTAAACAAATCACCATTAAATTTACATTTTTTTCCCCCTAGAGTTGCCTAATTGGCTTGTATCTCGCAATATTTTAGAATAGTTTAAGAATAAATTTTAATTATAAAAATTATAAACATTGTTATTTATTATTTTTACACTGTTGTTATCAACATAATTGTATATGGGATCGATTCACTAACATTTTTGTGAGAAATAGCTTTTTAATGCATGTTTAGAAGAACCTGTTAAGAGGAAAAAAATTGTTAAATTTGCTACTTACTTCATCAATTTCATCTACAATCTAGTCATATTTTCATATTTTTTTCTAAACGGTGTTTGAAAATCAATTGAAGTATTTAATATTAAAAAATTAAAAAAAAATTGATGGCAACAAAATAATTTTAACTCTTTTTTACAATTGTATGAAGATTATAAATTTATAGCGTGGTTATTGACATTAAATTGGAATAATGTTTCTAATAATGTAAAATAGAATTTTTTTTTTTAAAAAAAAAGGCTGTACAATAATTTAGTTGGAAAAGAAGAGTACAAATGTAGAAAGAAAAAAATTATGAAAGAGATAGATCATAAAATTCTATACCTTCTCTCTTCCACTTTATTATTTAGTTTTCTAATTCAAAAATTTATAAAAATATATATTTTAATGATCTGCACAAGCGATGAAAGTTATAAATTTCATGTTGTATGAAATGTCCTATTATAGGAAATAAAATTAAAACTATTTTATTTCGATAATAAAGATTTTAAACTATTTTGTTTTAAAAAATACTCAGAAGCAAAATGTTGGCAACCAATGAAAATTGATAACCGAAATTCGCTAGCCAATCTGTAGAGTTGTCGTCACCTTTGCCGTAAATACGCTGAATAAAAACAACCCAAACTTATATAAAGAAGAGTCAAAAACCGACGCATTAAAGGCTCGCAACGAAGATTAACCTCTCAACTAATAGCTGAAAAAATCCATCTTCATCTGGACGTGCTTAAAGCCTAAATTCTAGGAGAGACACGAGCCTAAAAACGCTGCCCACATCTCTGCTTTAATAGAACACAAGCCCAAATTAGCTGATAAGCCACCCTACCAATCTCTCATCTTTACAAACCCAAGGAAACAAACCATAAGGCTCAGAACGAGCCTTTTTCAATATCATTCACGTAAATAAAACTTTCTTGCACATTCATCCTACAGCATTTCTTTCTAGCCAATGAATGGATTTAGATTAAACCAATTTTCCTTTGCAACGCTTAATTTACTGAACATAAAGATAGAATCATGTTTAAACGAAAATAAAAGTTTGAAAAATGGAAGAGAATTTAGTTATAATGATGTATCATAAAATAAGGGCAATCCAAAAAATTTATGACCTCACGTGCCAAAATTTGGTGTGGCGTAGTACTGAAAACTTCCCGCTTGTCTTGGTTTACACGTCCGAATCAAAGATTTTGTAGTAATGGAATCAGAATTTAGCCAATAAAAGGAACATAGAAAGAGACAAGGTAAGGAGAAAAAACAAAGATATCCTTAATCTTTAAAACCATTCAATATCTACTGAGATATAGTATGATCAGGCCCATATAGATTTATATGTTAAGTTAGTATTAACTGTTAAACACCCAAACCCGGTTTTTTTTTTTTTTTTTTTTTAAGACAGGGGCTTTAGTTTTGACTCATGAAGGGTTTCTGACGTAACCAAACTGACATAGTGGCTGGTTTAGGAATGTCCCGGTTGGACTGACAGGTCGGCTCTGTTTGAATAACATTGGTTAAAAGGGGTGGGTAGTTTAATTTTGTTAAAACACACATGTTTTTAAAAATAAGCCCTCTTAAACCACTTTACATGTTTTTACATTTTTTACGTTAACTTGATTAGATAAGTATAAGCATGTACCTAATTCTATAATAAAACAAATCAACAAATGATAATTACAGAGATTAGGGTGCAAGATAAGCACAAATCATTTGTTCAAATCAATACCATATAATGAAAATATAAATTTTAGATAAATGAACTATATTTTACTATTTTTTCTTTATAGTTTGTTTTATATAAAAATGATGATTAAAAATAAATTAGGAATAAAAAGAATTCAATCAAATCGAATAATCATTCTAGAAACTAAAATGATAGTATTGAATATTAAATAAACAAATCGAGTCCGTATTTATAAGTAAATTAACTGGAAAAAAAAATAACACTTATATTAAACAAATATCAAGAAAAAAATACTTATTTATAACAGCAATGAATGATTATTTTAAGAGATTTATAAAAATGAAATGAGAGATTGCAATAAATTATTCGTGCATCCACAATGTAAAATCTAAATTAGAATAAACAAGACAATAAAATACGATTTCAATATATGTAACAAAAAAAATATAAAGTTTTAACATGTACAATAAAAATAATACAAAATTTAAATAAATAAATATAATTATAAATTAGATCTTGCGAGAAGGCACAAATCAAATTCTAGTTGCACCATATAGTTTGAGTAGCGATGCAACTCATTGTTATGTACTGACAATTATGGTAAGTAATCCAATGCAAAAATACTTTATTTTGTAACAATTATTGAAAAATATACTCAAAATCAAACAAATAGATATGATTATAAATCAGATCTCATCACATCGTACATGTCAAATATTAATTGTACTATATAGTTGAGTTGTAACGCAACCCATTATTATGTACTGACAATCATGTTAAGCAATATCCAATGCAAAAATATTTCATTTGTAGCAATTATTTAGCTTTCACTGATTGAAAATATGTACTCAAACGTGCCTTCCAATGATCATGGGCTTTGTAAATGGTCATGGGCTTTAGCCCATTAAAGTCTTCAGGACTCTGGCCTTGAGACAAAAGAAATATATTCATATCTCAAATATTTAAAACCATTTCCAGATCCACTGAACTGGTTTTTCTGGCCATCATGGGCTCTGCTTCCCCTTCCCTTCCCCCACCACCACCACCACAACCACACCCCACACCAACCACCACCACCCCCCCCCCCCCCCCCACCCCCCCAAAAAAAAAAAAAAAAAAACAAATATACTGAAAGGAATTCCAGTTTACCATCTCTACAGATCGCCACCACCACCAAGCCCTCTTCTTGAAACGAGCAAATTTGGGGAATTTGGATTCTCGGCCGTTTAGAGGGACCCCACCACTTTATCATATAGCACCTCCACCTCGATTCTTTTGAATCCGGGGTATTCAATCACTGCATAAAATATTATGTACAACTGACTGCGAAATCTCATGCTCTGCCAATAACTCTTAGAACACTTGTAAAAGTTATTTAATGTTACTATGCTATTTTATTTTTCTTTTTTCAATATATTTTATCATAAACACTTAAAAAATATCTGTAGAAAATAGCACTTATTTAATGAATTTAATTAATACCTTTCATTTTTATTTGAATATTTGATTTTTATTCATCTTTTAACTGAATCCAATAATAAATAGAATTTAATAAAGGTATTTGAATGATGATTTTTGTCAAGTTTCAATCTATTTTTATGTAACAAAACAAAATTTCACTATATCCATGCATTTTTAATATCAAAAGTTAACAATTATCCATAGGATACACGTTAATCATTCTATAAATATATTTATTATGCTCCATTTGTTGCTGTATCGTATTAAAAAAAATTAAATATTTAAATCAAAATCAATGATATTGATTATATATATCTTCTCTGTTTCAAAGAGATATATTGATTAAACATTTACATTGTATACCTTTTATTTATAGCCATCCTAAAATATTTATCTAATCAAAACTTTAGATGATGTATTTTTTAAAAAATATCTTTAATTATTTTGTAATATATATATATATATATATATATATATATATATATAATGAAGATTGATTTATCACATTATGTGACCCTTAACGAGTTAAATAAGGATACTCATAAAAAATTTTACAATACTTAAAAAGTAATTATCAATATTTACTTTATATAAATGAGAGACACAAAAGAAATAGAAAAATAAGAGATAGAGAATTTTTTTTAAAAAATAGAGGTTAAATAAAAATATTTTTATTAATTTCAATGGATCCAAATATGATTATTTTTTACATATATCTCTCTCCTTAAAGTAAATTTATAAAATAAATATTGATAATTATGTTTTAAATATTTTAAAATTTCGCGACGATTGAAAAAAAGGAAGGAGAGTTTTATTCTAATAGGAATAGAAAAGAGGGCTGTTGTTTTGGTGAGATATGGGATTATCGAAGAAAGGTATTGTCAAGGTTATTTCTATCATATAAAAATTTACTTTGGGAAATTCGTTGTGTAATTAATTAATTACAGATTTTTATTCCATTTTTACATAAATCTAAATAAAAATAGAATGTAATAAATACAATCAGATCATGTTTATGAATTGCCCAGAGTAAATACATGATTCTCAAAACAAATTATGAAAAAAAAAATAGTCAAACAAATCATAGATTTTCATTCCATTTTTTAAAATAAATCTAAATAGAAATAGAAAGTAATAAATAAAATCAGATCATGTTTATGAAGTGCCCTAAGTAAATACATGAATTCTCAAAACAAATTATGGAAAAAAAAAACTCAAAGAAAATGAAAAATATATCTAGAATCCTGCTTGGCTTGGTTTCCGAATCAAGATTTTTTAAAATAAAACAGAATTTTGGCTATAAAAGAAACGGCAATGATATATGATCCAAACATTTAAAGCCATTCCATATCCAGAGACATATTATTTCAGGCCCGAATCGATTTCTATGTTAATTACTCCGCTGAACACCAAACAGGTCTAATTATTTAGTTAGTTGGTAATACTACTCCGAGTATAAAATTTCTCCTATTTAAGAATACAATCAAGGACTGAACAAACCGAAAGAAACAAATGAAATTGAAAATTACGGTAGTGGAAGGTGCCATGAAGCGATCATTCGCAGCCTTCATTGTTTTGCTGGCCACGATGGCCTTTGCTTTCTCCACCACAAACGCCAGGCCACTACCTAGCCCACCACCACCGCCCAAGAGTGCCAGTGTTTTTTATAACCCACCACCACCATCGCAAATGAGTACTGGTTTGTCCTTTGAAACATTGTATTCTGGACCCTCTAGAGGCCCACCACATTATGAGATACCACCTCCACCTTCGTTTCAAACATCCCAAATCATCAACAGAATCCCCATTTATCATCTCTATAGCCCCCCACCACCACCTCCCAAGAGTGTCGGTGCTTTTTCTAGCCCACCACCACCATCGCAGATAATTACTGATTCGTCCTTCGAAACGTTGCGTTCTGGACCATCTAGAGGCCCACCACACTATGAGATACCACCTCCACCTCCATCTCAAACATCCCAAATCATCAACGGAATCCCTATTTATCATCTCTATAGCCCCCCACCACCACCACCTGTCAAGAGTGCCAATGTTTTATCTAGCCCATCGCCACCATCGGAAATAAGTGGTTCGTCCTTCGGAACGTTGTATTTTGCATCTTCTAGATATCCACCAGATTATAAGATACCACCTCTGCAACCATGATTTTCAATGCAGGGTATTTTATTATGTTCCAACTGTTGTATACATTGGAGTAATAATTAATACCGCCTATTATTATTATGCACTGGCAATCCAATGCAAAAATAGTTCATTTATAGTAATTATTTAGCTTTCGGGGACTGAAAAATATATTCACATTTCTTCGAATGTGTTTGTTTTCCATCAGTCTGCAAAATAAATTGTTAAAGGTTGTCAAGTGATGTACGGTACAATACAGATGGCAGGATGCGTCAGCGCGTATCAGTACTTATCTATAAAGACTAGGGAGGCGTTCATACACTGGATTTAGGGTTCACTGCCTCTCAGTCTTAGAAGTTCCACACCTATGATTCTTAAAGTGTTAATTAACCCTCCATTCAATAACAAAAAAGTTGCAAATCAGTTCTTATGATTCTTTTTCACAGAAAGTTTGATTATGATCAATCATGACAGATGAGATAAAGATTAAGTATCATATAAGCAAACATGAAGTGATCGAAAAAAAAAATCTATAAAAACTCAGTACTAGGCAACATAAAATAATATTAAAGAAAAAAGTTATTAAAAAGCAATATTAGCAAAAGCAATTATAAAAGTATACTAGAGATGATTTTATAATTCAAAAATTGAGAATTAATCGTCCTTCGAAAATTAAATTAGCAAATGTTTTCATTTATTCGACTTGTTGAATAAGTTGGGACTGGATCATAAAATCGACAAACCAAACTCATGTTAAAGTTGGATATGATACTTGACTCGGTTAAAAAAAAAACTTTAATTTTTATTTGAGAATGGAAAAAAATGTAGAAGAATCCATCCATATAGGGTTTACATAGCAGAATAATTATATATATATTCTCACATGCTATACGTTTTAGATTAATCATTCGCATAGAACAGATCATACACGCTAAATTTCTAGGCTATATTTCGTAGTCGTTTCTTTATGAGCAGGTTTATTTGAACCTTTCACGTCTGTGCAATTATTATGGCAACTTCCTCCTTCCTTTTTATGCATTTTATTTATTTCTTGAGATGATTCTGGTTCTGGGTGGGTGCGTTTTAGTCTAGTAATTGGAGATTTTAGATTGCAACTTCTTCCTATGGTCAATGCATATGGCTAACTGATCATGTAGCGCTAAACTCAGTGCTTCAAACTGCGATAAGCCACCAAAAAAAAAAAAAAAAAAAATCTTGAACCATTTCTCAGTTTGTTTTGCTTCTCTGAATCTGCATTCTGGGTTTTGTTTTTCATGCAATGAGTAATTCATCAATTTATTCATCATCTAAGGAAAATGATTCCATTTCTACATTTCTGTAGTATATATGTTACCTCCTAAATCAAAGTAACTTATGTGCAAAATCTCTAAACTGCTACTAGCTCTCTTACTAACTCTTCTGTCAATATTCTCTCAATTTCCCTACCTATTACATCAACGTCCTCCCTCAAATCCAACCACTGCGGTTCCCTTTCCAGGATCTTTTCTCCTGCTATGTCCTCATTAGCTCGATTATCTTCGCTAGCAACCAATTTGCCCAGGCTATCCTTGAGTCCATTTTTTATCCACTTGGGACCCGTCATAGTTGCTGACCTTACCCACGGGTGTGAATTGGCACATTGCTGGTAAATCATCAGAAGAGCTAAATTTAGGCGGTCAAACAGCAGCTTCCTTTCAGACCTTGGCCAAGATGCATGATTACAGTACTTCTTCTCAAGTTCTTCAAATATCGAAGGATTGACCGGACATTCTGGGGAATGCAATGCACTCAGCAAAGTATCAGGGTCAGCATCATTAATACCGGAGTCCATCAATACATCTCCTATGTAGGAAAATTCCCTGCTCTCCTCAGCTATTTTTCTCTCTTCTGTAAGTACAATAGAGCCTTCCTCGACATCTTCATCACTTGAGATGAGCATGGTTCCTTCCTCATATGCTTCTGACTCCAACCTAAGTAGTTGAAGCTGCATCCGAAGTCCTACAGGAAGGAGAATTGGAAAAAACATTAAAACAAGGCAGCAACAATAAGGATGAAAATGTAAATTCCCATCAATGGGATAATTTTGCAGCAGAAGATTTTTTTGTCTTAAAATCAACCTGCATTTTTGTCTCACTTTGGAATGCATAGGCCAGATATGAGAGTGATACCAGTTTATCAATAGTGGCGAAGCCACAAACCGATGAAGACAAAGCATGACCGCCCTTTGCATGTTATGTAACTTGAATCAACCAAAATTTCATAATTTAAGATTCCAAAACATTTTCTCTTTAAGTGTAAGAATCCCAAAGATTCATTATTGTTCTTCCAGCAACAACATACTAAAGAAAAACTTATGCTCACAAATTCCAAGTGGAGTAAAGAAAATGCAAACAGATAAAAATTCCAAAGAAAATGCGAACTAAACAATTAAAATTCAATTAGTCAAATCCCAAGTGGAGCCCAAACACTGAAAGAAGAATTAACAAACCAAAAAGCTTTTCAGATTACCATTCAGGTCAGCGCTGAGACCCTCAAAGCACTCAGAACCAGATGACAGGTCATCTGGAAAAGGAGTTTCAAGAACTGAGACAGGACTGGGTTGATCAGCCTCCTTCGAGCTTGCTGGAGATTCTACTTCGGCTACAGGGCCCTGCAGGGGAATTGAACCTTTCTCGGATGGCCCATTTAATGGTTGCTGAAACACCAAGTAGTGTTGGGATTAAACCATTCAGTAAGTAGAATTGAAGTATCCATTTGATGATATAGAGAAACTAGAGTAGTTCAACTAAATTCATCACCACATTGTTTTGGATTATTCAATTAAAGACAAGCACTTGCGAGAAAATATTCTTCGAGCATTTCAGGAAAGAAGCAAATATGATCATATATATCCTAGCAAGTAGGAAAGCAGTATACATGCATGGGTGTCTGTGTCTCTAGGGATGTACGATACTAAAGAGCACCAGGATTCTTTCCACTAATTAAAAGATACCTCAAAGACAAAATCATATTTGGAGTGTGATTCCAGTTTTGTATCAAAACTAGTCAACTCAAACAGCACTTTGTGACACAACACATGCACTTCACCATAAATGGCTCTACCACAGTAGGAGAAAGTTAGCAGTTAAACGTGTCCAAAAATTTCAAACAAGAAAATTTACTGAAATAAAAGGCCAGTTATGTTCTATATTGAGCTTCCAGCACAATTAGAGTTATGGCCAGAGCAAATGATTGGTGTTGCTTAAAAAAAAATTAACCTTTTTTCTGAAACAGAATATTAAAGATTGCAATCTTGGCATAAGCATAATAAACAAAAAGAAACACATGGTTACTCATATATTTAACAGTCTACTTTTGAATCAAATATTGATGCGCACATATATATTCCATGAATTGAAAATCCAATCAAACGGAAAAGCATGAAGTTTAAGTCAGAAGTCGTGAGTCAAAAACCATATGCATCTGACTGACTGAATTTCTGAACTGCTTTAAGAAATTATTAGGAAAGACAAGAAGATAAACAGGGAATTCTCCTTTCCTTAACATTAAGATTTAAACAGAAGAACACCCTGCAGCTCAAAGTTTCTATCTACGGTGCTCATAATATGCCAGCATGCACAAAGGTCATTAAAAGATAGAAACCAAACCTGTGAACTTGAAACTTCTAGATCACTAGCAGAGGAATTGCCTTTTACCAATATATAAGTTGATGGTTCTCGGTCAATAGGCTTAGAAGGCATGGCTTTGTTCTCAATTGCCACATCTACCACACTTTCAACAACTGAACTTGTATCTGCGACAATAGAAGCTGGTGTCTCAGAAACAGTACAAATTTGTTTCAGTGAATCATCTTCTGCAATCTCGCTCTGCTCTTGATCCAGGCTGAAGTTAATTTCCAGGGACGTGTCGCTGTGATCTCTATATGAGCAGCTAGACATGTGAGATTTCTTAGCACGAGATCTGGAATTTCTAGAAGGGGAACACTCTCTCTTATTGAAATTGCCTTCTATTGTTCTGTTTCTTTCCTGCTGGATCACTGGTTTTGGGATTATATATCTGTCATCGCATACATTTTCATGGTGCATGCCAAGTCTAGGACTGCTGATAACAGTCGATGAAGCAGGCACAGACCTTGATCTTGATAGATTTCTGCTATCAACATCCTTCCAACCTTCCCTGCTGCTAATACCCAAAGGTTCATCCCACCTAACTGCTCCATGATTGCGATCAACTTTATCACTGAATACTTTTTTACAGATCATGGGATCAGAATTTCCAGGCCTTTTTTCCGAATCAGGGATAGCAAGCATTTCACCTAGTGTGCTGCTCCGACTAACGATTCCCATGTCCACAGACTTATGAGTCATTTTCCACCTCTCTGAGAGTCTCTTCCTGGCCTCTCTGCTCACTGATGACTCATTAGAGCATGATGATGAAGGTCTGTACCGGTTACTCCAATCAATGGAATTTCTGGAAGTCTCCTCTGATTCATTAGCAGACTCATTTTCAGACATGTTTGATGAACTCTCATCCCCTGCATACCCTCTAAAACCAGATGTTGAAAAATTCATGGAGCCATTGCCAAGATTTTCTCTCATTTGCCTAGTTATTTCCTTTGCAATTTCTCTAGATTCTCTAGACTTATACCTTGAGGGCCCTGCATCATCAGGAAACTTTTTCGCTCTGCATGACACCACCTCCCTGTTCTTGGTACCAGGAGTTTCAGTGTGTTTCCTACAATATGAAGGCGAAACATGAGAGGATTGAGGTGATGAAGTTTTTCTTGTAGAATTCTGTATTTTCCCAAGATTTGGTTTCAGAACAACAATCCTTGTAGGGAGAATGGTGGACTCATCTTTCTGATCCAGTTGAATTTTTGACAACTTAACTGGATTTTGAGGTTCATGCTTGCTATAAGAGTGGCTAGCAGGATCAGCATGGGGTTTTCTTCGATTCTTCAATGGGGTTTCTCTCTCTATATTGCAAACTAGGCCACTGCTCCCACAGTGTGGAGGATGTGATGGCTTCATTGCTGATATGCGAGACCGACCACAATGGGATTGTGGAGAGACACCTTGTAGATCATTCAGATGCTTTGTGAACAAAGAATCTGGCTGCTGAAGATATTTCAGCAAAAGATCCTTGTTGGAGTCCAGATCCTCGATAGCATCATGAAATTCCTTTGAATTATGAAGTTTTTCATCAGTTGAAAGCCGTTTAGCATCCATGAATTTCTGCTCAATGAATGCCATCTCAGCTGCTGTGAGCTTTGAGCGTGCAGTTCCCCGTGATGAGTAACTACTACTATCCATCTTTGATGAGTCTAAAACTTCAAATACATCTTTAAATTCTTGCTCATCTTTGGAGCTTTTTCTGGATGACCGCCGACCATACGATGCATTGTTTCTTTGAGCTTTCTCTGCCAATACCGTCCTTTGTGTGTAGTTCTCCAAGGACTTCTTTTGTTGTTTATGAGAAGATTGCTGTTGTGGTAACCCATCAAGGCCCATCAATCTGGCAATAACACTTGGTGACCTTCTTTTGGATTCAGATTCTCTTGACATCTCTTCCGCTAATAACTTCTTTATGGGTGTTCCAACTGCCCGTCTCGGAGATCTCCACCCCAGCTCACAAGTGAACTTCAGGACCCAAATGAATCAAGTCACGACTATGAATGCAAGTAGTCAATTAAATAGATAAAAGGAAAAGGGTGGCGTAGAAAAAATTCATATACGTATAACTGAGCAGGAATCCTTTTTCAATAAATTTACCAAAGGGAAAAAGTAATAAATAGAAGCAGATAAATCAACAGACCAGATCGTCGTCAGTAGAACCACCAGTCTGAGAACTAGAATCAGAGGCCAAATTTGGGAAGTTTCTCTGTTTTCGAACCACCCCGTTTCCTGGAAATGAATTCCTAGTACAACATTAGCATTGCTGTTACAAGTAAAAGGGAAAGAGGAATAGGAAAATAAATAAATTTTTAACACAAAAATTACAAGAGTTAACTAATCCAATCCAGAAAACATCACCGAACTGTCTTTTGAGCATGCAAAGCTACAAAACGTACTGTGAATTTCCATAGTACAAGTATTGTTCTCAACCTTGAAATAGCATGAGCAAGACTAATATTAAAAAAAAAAAAAAGTTCCAAAATATTATATGAATAATTAGTCTAATAATAAAAAGAAAACACTTTAAAGAATTGCAATCATATCTTGCTATAGCCATAGAATTAGTAAAAGAAGCAAGCAAAATAATGCCAATTCCACTATAGAAAAAAGAAATTAAAAGGTCATAAAGTAATTCAATCAAAAACTTACTTTAACTAAAGCAAAGAAACAAAGCCAAAGCTAACTCTGCAATGAACAGACAAATAATAGCAAAAAGATAAACAAAAATCAAAGAATAAACGCTACAAAAATGCATTCAAATGACCGAAACTTCATCTATTATTTAGCTTAACTGACTGAAAATCTGAAGAAAAAAATAAGAAAAACAGACTAATTCTCTGTTGCATTACTGATCAACAATAGAAAAGGAAAAAAGAAAGAAAGAAAAGACACTGCTTTCTAAGAAAAATGAAGGAAAATAACTACTGAGAAATTTCTAAGATTAAAATTGAAAAAAGAAAAATACCTTCTGTGCTAAGATTATGGCTGTGAAGAGGAGAAATAGGCGAGAAATTGGACCTTCTGAGCTGAAATCTCTCCATTATTATCACTCATTTAAAAAAATTGAATTTATTTAAAAATTAAAAGCATAAAAACAAGCAATGCAATGCAGCAGCAGCCGTCTAGATCGGAAGCTCCGCAAAGAAGAAAGTGAGAAATAGCGAGGAAGGATCCAAGAAAATTATATAACTGAACCAAAAAAAAAAAATAGAAACTTATATTAATTATTTTCAGCTTTTTCAGCTCCAAAGACAAATTCTGCCACTAGATCTTGAAAAAAAAAAAAAAAAAAGGCAGATTGTTTCTAGAAAGCAAATAAATAGAGAGAGAGAACGTCGGATATTAAAGAGGGAGAGTGTGGTCCGTTAGAGCTGTGGAAGAGAGACAGAGAGAGGAGAGAGTGTGTGATTTTTTTTAAACATTCAAAAAACGATAGACTGACACAAGAGTGAGAGTGAGGGCGGGCAAGTAGTAAAGTGGGCATGGTTGAGTACCATGCGACCTGGATTTTTGTTAAACGTGTGGAGGGTGGATGGCTGCCACGTTTATTTTCTGGTGAGTCCTTTTTTGGCAAAGTGGTATGAGAGTTTGTATTTTTGGCTCTTTTTCGTACTAGTTTTGTTTGATTCGGCAGGAATTAGATTTTTGATGGCCCGAAATACAGGATGAGATTGGATTTTGAAAAGAATATATGTAAATATATTATAAACTTATGTGGCACCGTTTGATATTGTACAGTTGGAATGCTTTTCAAAATAGGTGTGGACTAGTTTTTCATTCGTTACGACTCCTACAAAACATATAAAATCATTTTAATTTAAAGATTTATCATATATTATGAATCTATCAAAAGATGATTATTATTTTTTGAAACCAAAATATAGTTGGAATGCTTTTCAAAATAGGTGTAGACTAGTCTTTCATTCACGTTATCTTACAAGTCGTACATAACATATAAAATCATTTCAGTGATAAGATTTGCATTGCATTATGACTTCATTAAAATATAATTATTATTTTTATTAAAAAAATTTATTTAACTAATTATTTATTATATTTTAAAAAAAATTATAAATAAATGATTCATTTTAATTTATTGGATTCTTAACTAAAAACTTGTGATAATTTAAAAATAAAATCTAAAACTCCATGGATTTATAACTAAAAATTTATTTTATAAATTATTTTTTCAAAAAGCCTAGTACAAATTCTCTAAAAAATATTTTTAATTTTTAGATTACACACACTATTATCATTTAAAAATTCCAAGAGTCCGTCATATAAATTATATAAATTTATTTTTTAAAAGAACATAAGCACGTTCTAAAATTTTATTTAAAAATCCATAAATAGAGACCAATAAATCATGTTTATCTATAAATAATATTTAAAAAAATGAAAATTAATTGAATGAAAATTTTTTATAAGAAATGATAAATTGAAGAAATAAATTTTAAATAATAATAGTATAATCTAAAATATATATTTATTTCAAAATATAAAAACATATCATATATATTTGTTTCTCATCAAACCGTGCGAGAACAAAAAAAAAAAAATTATTCGATATCCCAGAACATTCACCTAAAAATCTATAGAAAAAATTAGAAAAAAGAAAAAGAAAAAGAAACCTAGCTAAGAACCGAGCCTACACGCCTAGGCATGGAGGAGCAAACCCTATCAAAAACGTTTTTTGTTTTTAACAAAAAACACTACAATTTCTAGTAAGTCGGTGTTCATTGGAAACGTTGTTGAAAAATTGTGTTTTTGGCTTTTGGCTTTAACAAAGCCAAATTACGTCCCGATTTAAAAAACAAAACTAAAAATCACAAAAATAATGTCAAAAAAATATTTTAGAGTCTTAAAATTCATTTGAATGCACACAAAACACATAAAAGTTCAAATCAATCTAAAAAAACTCAAAATATTTTTAAATCACAATCTAAAATAAATTTTAAATAATAATAGTAATATAATCTAAAAAATATATGTCTATTTTAAAAAATAAAAACATATCATATGTAGTTGTTTCTCATTGGATCGTGCGAGAACCAAAACAAAATAGCATTCAATATTTCAGAATATTCACCTAAACATTTATAGAAAAAAATTGGAAAAAAAAAAAAACCCGGCTAAGAACCAGGCTTGTGCACCTAGGCATGGAGGAGCAAATCCTATCAAGAATTTTTTTTTTTAATAAGGCACTCGTAATTTCTAGCAAATTGGTGTTCGTTGGAAACATTGTTGAAAATTTGTTTTTTTGGTTTTCAACTTACCCAAAGCCAAATTCTGTCTTAATATATATATATATATATATATATATATATATATATATATATATATATAACTAACAATTTAGAATCACAAAAATAATGCCAAGAAAATTTTAGTCTCAAGATTCATTTTAATGCACATAAAACACATAAAAAATCAAATCAATCTAAAAAAATTTAAAATATATCACGATCTAACTCCTCAAACCATGGCCTATAACCACCATCAACGGATTCCGTTCTTTAAGACGAACAAATTTGTGGTAATATCGACGAGTTGATGTGGCAAAAATGACTTTCACCTCTCTCTCTCTCTCTCTCTCTCCTATAAGCATTCAAGGACCATGTGGCAATATAAATAAGGTTTGGGATTGAATTTTTTTACTAAAAATACAAGAGACTAAAGTGCAAAAATACATATAAAAAATAAAAATAAAGAGTAAAATTGAGTGATGGTGACAATGCAATTGAGTGTTGTGAATTAGCATTCTCTTTTTAGTGTTTTAGTTAGTGGAAATCTATAGTCGGCAATTATTTATTAGGCGAGTCAATAATTAATTTTAATAATTAATAGTTAATAAACTAGAATAAAAATTTTTCATATTATTAGAATGTATTGAATTTACAATCATTATAGAATAAAAGATTAATTCTAAACTAAACATTGTAAATAATCAAGTACAACTCAAACTAAATTTCAATTCATACAATTCGATTAGGAGCACACTTGCTCAAGAATTCCTCACCCATGCAATAACAATACAACTTAGATGGATCTTGAGTCTTGACTATTATATATGTACGTTTTGTTTGCAATACGATAAGATATGAAATTATTAACGACTATAGATATATTTATTTCATGTAGTAGATGTGATATAGTGATAAATAAATTATAAATTAGTCCTTCTTATTTTGAGAAATAAATCGATTAGTCATTTTGATGTCAAAAAATAATTATTTAATCTTTTTAGCTAGTGCGACTACGACTAATTTATTTTTTATTTAAAAAATGTATTCTTTCTTCATCATTTTTTTTTCATATTTTTATCTTTTTTTTTTAACTTCTTAAACAAAAAGTCAAAAAAAAAAATTGAAAAATAGCAAGACTAATAAAAACTAGTTTTTGAAATCATGGAGACTAATTTATAATTTACTGTTGAAGCTCCTATCTCTTAACGAAAATAAAGAGAGAGAAAATGCAATCACTAGAGCATTAAAGGTTTTATCAAAAAAGGAAGGGAAATGATCAAATAAATGCTAAAAGAGAGTCAGTCAAGGGCAAATGTGAATTTTCATAAATCCATTGAGTGCCAATAAGATTAATTAAAAACAAAAGAGAAGGTCATTTATAGTATAAGGAAAACAAAAAAGAGAAACGAGGGAAAAAAACTAAGGAAGAAAATTGAAAGAGAAATCAGTAAAAAAAACAAGTGTGAATTTTCATAAATCTACCAAATAACAATGAAAGTAATTAAGAGTACAAGAAAAGGGCTTTTCTAAGGAAAAATGTAAAATAAAACAGCTTAGTCCACATTAAAATAAAAGTGAATGAATAGTTTAGAAATAGTAAAAACATCAATTTTAGTGCTTTTTGTAATCGTAAAAATATCAGTTTAATATTATTTTAGTTTTTTCAATTGATTTTGACATCGGCATGTAGGACTATTTAAAAACATCAAATTAGAGTACATCCAGGCCGAGCTAGGTTCGTAGTGAATTTAGTATCCATTTTCAGACAATAATATAGAGGTTTTATTTTATCTATAATTTGAAATCATTTCTCCGAACAAGAAGATATATTCAGTACTAATTTTTGTAAACATAAAGCAAAGACTTCACTTGTTTTATCTTACAAATAATGATATCAAAGGTAATTGAACTAAACGTAACCAATTTCGTAAATATTTTCTTAGGAAAAATTAATTCCACAATAGTTTGCGGTTTGTGGATGCCTATGGTTGTTTTCTGCAAACAAATCTACTTAAAAACTAAACGAGCAAAAGAAATGGTTATTTGGGTGCTTAATTGGCTATATAGACAGGAACAAGTTTGACCGATTAAAACAATGTTTTGAGTTTCCCAAAAAAAACTGTATCATTAATCCCCACCGACAAGGCAGATGGAAATTCATAATCGTAGCTTTGGAATATATTTCTTGCACTGCATGCACGACCTTCTGGCCTCGTGAACGAAGTAAACATCCTGTCGTGTTTATATTGGATACAAAAATTCAAAATTTAGGGAAAACTGCAAAAAGAAAATACCCCATGATTTGATTTGACCTATTTGCATTTGAAGAAGTGGCGGAGAATGAAGTTTGCCCCTTTTTATGGTGACTTGTGGTTTCCTCGCCAGTTGCTTTTTTTGCCAACTTCCACTTCCGTTCCATCAATTAAGTTGTTGAAAATAAATCTTCAAATTTTAAATTTTATTCTAATCCTTAAAGGTTTAACAGTTAATCAAATTTTTATGTTATTTTTTAGCATCAAACCTGAATATTTAACAGTATCGTCATGGTTTTCTCAACTATTAACAGTGCTTTTACTGTCATAAAAAGAAATTTTTTTATGATAAAGACATAGTCCTTTTTTTTTTTGGGTTTTATGAGCATCTGACAGTTTTATTTTTATTATAGAGTTAGGCAATTGTATCACAGAAATAAATAAGTATTATTTATGTACAATAGGTATATGTTAAGAGTTGTAAGAAAACTCGAATTTCAAGTTTAAAAGAAACAGGATGTAATTACAAAAAAAAATATAAAGTTTGAGGACTAATACTAGAAAAATAACAAAAGGAAAGAAAAAACAAAACAAAGAAAATCTAACCCAGCAAACCACAAGTAAGGTATGGTTTTCCATTTTTTTTCAAAATATAAAATATTATTAGCATCTACTTTTACTGAAGATTTATTTTATTTCGTTCTGAACTAACAATGAGGATAAACCTTCTTTTTCTTTCATTTTCTTTCTAATTAGCAAATAATTACACCCCGTGCACATAACTTTGATTAAATATCTTTAAAAAAATATATTTTCAGATTAATTTTTATATACTTTAAAATTAATTTTTTTTCTGAATATAGCTACTAAGTATTCCCTATTAGATATTTTAAAAATACTAATTACAAGAATCCAATATTGAATATGTGATTAAATGTACCATAGGTGGAATTGGAATTGGTAGCTAATTTTCTCATCAGTCATCGATTTAAATGCATTAGATACATTGAGACATCTGAATCCATATATATATATATATATATATATATATATATAATTGATCAGTAGTAAGTAATTGATCAGATTTGAGTTCAATCGCCATCAGATAGGTACATGATTAAAAGTGAAGTTATGGGCAGAAGTTACGTGATAAAATTTGATCATGATCCAGATTTGTCAACTTATGCCTAATTAATTGACACTCTTTCTTTTAGTAGATGGATTATCATGTTGCGTGTGCTGCCATGGTTCTGGTTTATTTTTCTCTCTTGTTTTTTCACTATTCATATCTTGCATGATTGACGTTATTGTCAATCTTTTAAACACAGATCAGAAATGGTTACGTTTAGAAGTGAACAAGTTGCATTTCTTGGATTCTGCTTTAAGACTTTTCTAAAATTGAGATGGCGACTATAATCCCAATAGCGAGGAAATTAAAAGATAGTGACAGTTGATCTGAACCCGAGAAAAGGAGAAGGGATTTGGGAATCTTCATTTTGAAACTAGGTGCTGCCGCAGATAACCAGGGTAGCCTCTAGGTTGGTACTGGCTAATCTTTGTTTTTTGTGCTTTGTTTTTGTTTGTGAAGGTGACGGACTTGGCGGTTTTTTTTTTCGGGGGAAATTACAAATGTCACTAGGATTTGTGTTCGTGTCCTGACCTTTTTAATTAAACAAGCTTCGACGTTTACCTTGCAGTACTGATTGCACATGGTTGGAGTTAAAAAAAAAAAAAAACATTTTATATCAAATTAGTCTAACAACAGAAACACAAATATATAATTGCTTAATTAATTTGGTAGCGGCGGAATGTTGTGCTTTTATTTTTATTTTTTTCCGGTCACATTAAACTATGTGGCTTAAAAAAATAATAATTAAGGTGTCAACATTTTGGATTTTTTGCAATAAAGTTATATCCTTCCACCAAATTTCTTAAAAAATTCCATTACAGTTAAAATTAAAAGTTTAAAAAGGACATATGTTGCATACTCATTGGTTAAGATTTTGATGAAGTTTGATATTTTTACTGTAAACTATGTATTAGAACCTCAAAATTCTTTTTTTCAAAGGTTAATTGGTCAACACAACTTCTAAATTTTTGGTCAAAATCAACTTAATTCTTAAACTTTTGCTTTTTTTCTTTTAACATGGTCCCTTGAACTATCAGATCAAAACAATTGGCTTCAGAAGCGATCATTACAATCTTACCGAGTATGTTTTTTAAACCATCAAAATAATTATTACGTCCATTTGTTTTTAACAAAGGCGATCCATTGTTTTGATCGGATAATTCGAATGATCAACATATAAAAAAAAACAAACAATCAATAGTTAATTTAGATTTGATCAAAAAATCAAGAATTTTTTTAACCGACATTTAACGTTTATGGAACGCATAATTTAATGCGATGGTTAGAATTCTGACCTTTTGGTCATATAACAAAGGATTTTTTTTTTTTTTAATAATTACAGTACCAACTAGGCTTCATGTTAGTGGTTCAAGCAGAGAGATGGTCTAGCAGGCAGCGTTGAATGAAGTCACAACTTTGGATAAGCAATCTCTCCTGCAGAGATCTAGAGGAATTATTCTCAGACGTGCAATCAAAATCCAGCTTACGCTCCTGATTATGTGGAAGTTTGTAAAAGAAGCAACTTGTAGAAAACCATAATTGAGGGATTTATCTTGCTAGGCATGTTCTTTTTCCATAATCAAATTGCTTAAGTTTAACCCCATACAGAAGAGAAACAGTCTCTCTCTCTCTCTCTCTCTCAAATAATAATAATAACAACAACAACAAGACAAGGGCTCTCCTTCATTGTCGTGTTCCCAAAAGTACTTTTCGCAACATTATTGTTCATGGTGCTTGAGCAACACCAAGTCAATAGAATTGCCTTGTTGAGCAACGCTTTACTTGGGGGCATTGCAGTCAGATTTGTTCCTTCCTAGTGCTGATCAAATAGCAAATATTTATGCCAAAGGTGTCTCTCGTCTTCTCATTTTGTTTACTTGCACCACCGATTTGAGCAATTTTGCGAATTGCGTGCGAGTAATATTGTGTTATGTGTAGTAGCTAGCTATTTGTATCATAAGAAACATAATATCTTTTAATTATTGCACTTTATCACATCAAGACAATTACTATCCTGAATTTTTTTACCTAATGTAAAATCAAAGTCAAAAAGGGCATCTAAAAACGAATGCTTCATTATATATATAGGACAAGGCAACCATTTACCACATGCCTATGCCTATGCCTAACATCCTTAGGCAACTTTGTCTATAATTAAACCACATGATGTGAACCACCAACCATCCCATACATTGCATTATTCGTCTGGAAACCTTTATTTCAGTGTACAAGCGACCGAAGCAAAAGACATCATAACAAGCACATCATTGTTGTCTCCAATCCCTAAGATAAAGCAGGTTAAAGCTAGCTAGGTAGTTCATCTTCCATGGCATCAAAATGATAAGGGTGCCTTCCCTGTATAGTTCTTCTTCTCATTGCTTTTCTAGATGGAATCCAGAGGTTTACTCATAGGAGCATGCGAGAGTTGAGGCTTAGGAGCCCCACCACCAGTCTATTAAAGTTCAGGATAGTACTCATGTCTGACCATCTATATATTTATCGCAGATCGTTTCTTTTGGTGTTTTTGCCTTTAATTTTCATCCTTTCAACCTCGTAAATCAAAATTTTAATTGGCAAAAATTGCCATATCATTCACCTGCCCGGAATTACCAATATAGCTTTGTTTGCGATTCCTCTGAGTGTCATTTTCTGCTTTGGACTGACTTTTAACATTTTTCCTATTTCTATTAGAGGCTGCAAATCCGAAGTGCCTAAATTATGAAAGAATTGAAAGTCCTTTGACAAACGGAAAAGGGACAATACATTAGAAGTTCCTCAAACAAGAGACAGCCAAATAAAGGCACCGAGCATGGACGACTTGTGATGGAGTCTCTTCATCAAATGAATGGCAATTACATTTGTACAAGCAAAGAAAGAGTCAAAAAGAAGAAAGGTAAATTAAAAAAAAAAGAAAAAGAAGCCTTGACTACATGTTAAAGGAAAAGATGAGCTACAGAAAAGAAATTCTGTTGGAGGTCCAAATCAACAATCATAGCTTTTGAACGTCCGTAATTATCTGCCATCTTTAGAAACATAATCTTGATTAAGACCACACATGCTGTAAGGATATTGGTTTTCATCCTGATTAGTTACAGCCTTCAGTTTTGACCCAATGTGCTTTAAGTCCTTTAGAACAAACCAAATTAATTAAGAGCATGGTCCCTAGGTTAATAACTAATAGAAAAGTCTAGAGCTACAAAGCACATTTTCTTGTTTTAATTTCCCTTTTGGAGACTTAACCCACAAATGTGAATACCCAAGTTACAGAAATTCGTCAACAACTGAGCTAAGATTGTGATTGTATGTACACGTATATATATGCAGATTGAAAACAGGGATCCACAAGTCAAACCAGACATATTAAATATGAAAATTGATAGCCAAGCAGAAGCTGACGTCTATTTCAAAATTATTCCCATTATCTGCCTGCTTTTGTTGGATTCGGTAACCATCAACGTTAATACGCCTTAAATCTATAAAATAACTCGGACAGCATGTTACATTCACCAGCTTTGCATATCTAGAGAGAAGGAGATGAACGAACGAAATGGATTGAACCTAGAGCCGCAATGGTTTTTTTTAATTTTATATAAATTGCTAAGCACTATTAAGTGCTAAAGACTGATAGAACCTATGCACAAATCGCAAAGCATAGACTTGCGTTTAAGAGAACTAAGAAGCAACTTCTATTACAACTACAGTAACAAAATTAACAGTATTGCAAAAACTAATAATAACATAAGAAACTAGCAATAACTTCAGTTAGAGACAAAATGATATGTTTTCAGGTTTTAGACACATGTCTAAGGCATCTGTAAAAAAGAACGGACTTTGTCTAAAACTTTAGAAACGCTTTGGCCTTAAAGCTTTACGTTTGGTTGCCAAGGCCTCAAGTGCTCTTAAGAAAACTGAGCTGGATACAACGAGGTAGATGTTTCAATCCTCTTCTTCCTTGATTTAAGACCAATAAGAGATCTGTTTAGAGAGTATAATAACCGTCTACAACTAGCACCTATCCATGAAAATACAAAGGTCAGAGAAGAGAATCTCCGTTAAGAGCGGGCGTGACACATCAAACCTTTCTCCCAGCACGAGAACAGAAGAAAAGAATCAAATGGATTAAAAAGGACCAACTATTCCGGGTTGTGCTATCCTTCAAGGAGACATGCATGCACAACTATTATAAATGGTAAAAACAAAAAAACAAAACACAAAACTATGATGTTGGCGCCTCGACTTGAACAGTCAACAGAGGCATCAGTCGGGAACGCGCTTTATAGTCTTTCCCTTGATTACAAACAATATCTACCCTTATGGCTACATGGAGGAGGCCTAGAGAAACTTGGAATCTAAATTTTTCTGCAGCGATTTAAATGCTGTACAACGCTTTTGGGAAGATGTGCAGGCTTGCTTTATTTTGAAACTCATGGACATGCATCAGCCTCGTCCAAGTGATGAGCAATTTTCTTGAAAAGTAGGTGGTTAGTGAATAGTGACCTTCATTCGGTGTTTTAACACAAATTTGTAGCACGTGTTCGTTAACTGCAAAGAGATATTGCTTACTTCTTGTGCTCCAAGAACACTCTTTAGGCTTATATGATTAATATTCATTAAAATTAACTCTGGTTGCTTCTAGTACAACTCGCTGAAGAGAGAAAGACAGCACATTCTAGGTGAATCAGCTCCCAACCGGCCACTTAGTGACCCAAAGACAGATTACAGATTCACCATCATCTGGACTCTATAATTAACAGTGTATTGGTTCCCATAATGATTGATGAGAACATATGAATCTAACAAGTTTATATGGACAGTAAATAGTCACTCACATATCGTAGTGCCTTGTGCCCTTATCTGTCTTGCCTGGAAACAGAACTGACATACTCAACCGATGCTCTTAACAAAATTCAACGGAGAAAATCAAATTCTCAATTCACATTGCGCAGCATCACGTGCAAAGGAAAGAGCAACATAGAACATATTCCTTATGTTGAAAATTTTTAACATAAAAACAGACAGATTAAACATGAAAATACCAACCCAAAAAATTGATATGATGGTTAAGAGTGTTTTCACTGTAATGATTCAAAGCATGATTCTTAAACTGCTGTTTATCCAGCTACAATATATGTGAACTAAATAATACCTGCAATGAGAGATGAAATTTAGAGCCTAGTGGACGCACTAGATGGAAACACAAGGAAAATCAACCTAGACAAGCCTGATCGTCCAAGCGTTGCCCAAGAACAGAATAGATACTATATTGGGAACTCCAGTGTTGGGCTTTCCACCAACTCAAAAACGGTGAAGAACCCACAATATCAAGACTGATCATTAGGGATCCAGGTGATCTCAGCCTGTAGGTAGACCAAGACCGACTCCAAGACTTTTTACAAGCATTTGCAGAGATGCTTTTGACAACCCTATATTGCCTGCAAGTTTGGCAATCCAAGGCAATATACATTGCTGTAATGACATCAGAAAAGTTCATCCTACAGCTAACTTCATACTGTAGAATGGCCCTTACAGTTCTACTAAACAATTTATTTGACTCCTGAAACTTTTACCATGTAAGCTAAGATATAATGCTTCCATGCGAAGAAAATTTAAAGATTATAAAAGCTAAATTTCTCCAATGCAACATATTTATGGCGTTTCCTAAAAAGAAGCAGCATCTGTTGCCCAAAACTACTACGACTGCGAGTTTGGGAATAACAAATAAAAATTGTTATGTGCAGCTAACAAACAGTAGCTCCCCCAAATTCTCATCCATAAAGAATGCAGAGCGAGCAGGAAAGTGGAATTCACTCTGCGTTCTGCGCAAAGTGGAGTCCAATCTTTAGTTGACAATAGCACCACTGCGATTTTCAGGAGGGAAGGAAAAGAAAGAAATAACAAGGCCAACATAGTCGAATGCTTGACCCTTTATAACAGGAATTGCATTGCAATTTATCCTACAATGGCAAGTTGAGAAGAGTGTCGGGTTATGATTACGAACAATTTCTCTGTTGAATTTGGTTGAGGGATGATTAGAAATAATCGATTGTATGTAGACAAGCAAAATGGAGGGAGAAAGTGTTTCTGATGAGTAACATAGCTATTGGACTGAATGACTGCAAAGCCAGGTTCAGAGAAGACAAAATCTAGCGTCAACGAAGATGCCCAATTGCATCAGCCAGTAAAAAGAATGAATAGGTACTTCGTCTTGTTGTTTCAACTTAATGAAGTTCCAAATGCACACACATGGAATATTTTCTGACCATCTCAACCGAGTATTAAGCCCAATTGCTATTCCTATTCGCATCAGGACATGCAACACAGCAAATTTTGAAACTGAATTATGACCATTCTAAAATAACATAAATTCAAAATCATGCATTTCCATGCACACGCAAAGGCTATCAGTTTTCTGAATCAGCAATTAGGAATAGTTATGTGGAGTTACAAACACTAACCAACCCAAGCGCCCCCCCCACCCCAACACACACACAAAAGTACTCATCCAGAAAGAACGCAAAAGGTGTTGGAATCCATTCTCACCTAAGAGGAACTTAATCTTTGTTGACAATAGAATAACTAGGATTTACTGGAGTGGAGGAAAGGAGAAGCAACAAGGCCAACATGGTTGTATTCTGGAATCTATACCATGAGGCATTGCGCTTTTGTATTCACTTGCTTGTACTTGGCAAGTTGAGAAGAGAATGTCATGCCATGATAATGAAGTTTTCTTTTTTCTTTTCTTTTGTTTGTTTATTTATTTATTTTTTAACTTGGCTGAATTTAGCACTTCATGAGCATGCCGAAAACCAACCAAAGTGTGAGAAGCCTGGTTTCTGATGATTAACATAGCTATTGTTCTGAATGGTGGCAAAACTCAGGTTCAGATAAAATAAAAATTAGCATTAATGGAAAAGCCTAATTGGATCACCCAGTACCAGGGTGAATGCGTACCTTTTGTCTAGCTAATGCAGTTAACGAAGTTAAAAAAATGCACAAAACATGGCGTATTTTATCCTCCTCCTCAACCAACTAGCAGAGAACTAAATGATTTTGCAACTTCATAGTCTCATCAGGACATACAACAACATCAACAATCAATACCTTGATGCTCATATAAAATATCAATGACTCAACAAGTTAGAAGATAAACTTTCAACTGAACAATGGACGTCTCTACAAAGCCAAAAATTCAAAATCATGCATTCCCCCCAAAATTTGCACATGAGATGTAGCTAAAGGCTTTCATGTCCAAGTCATAATAATTTGAGGTCTAAGTAGATGCTACTTTACCAAAGCCATGAATATATGCAATACCATAACAAATAAATAAAACGTTTCTTCCCCCAAATAACTAGCATGTCCATTAACATTTTCATTTCTAACTAGAAAAATTAAGAGACAGATGGTCATTCATGGACAATTCCTCTAATCAGCATGAATATTAAAATTTTGTCTAACTAGCCACTATCCAATGCATTTAACAAAACCAAAACCAAAATCGAACTAACAACACAAACAAAAAATTTAAAAAGAAAAAGAAAGAAAGAAAAGTTACAACCTTGCTGTTATCCTTAACCTCAAAGCATCCAGCCACACCTATCAACTCCTCTCCCTCTCTACTTTCTCCGAAAAGAACTTAGTAGCAAACATATTATCAACCAGATACTCCCTATAAGGATGATTCTTCGGAACAAGCTTTTTAAACTGCTCAAACTTTTTCTCTGCTTCATCTTTCTTCCTCAACAAAGTATAAATTATTCCTTGACACAAATACGGCCTAAAATCCCTCGGTTCCTCTTTCACCAACTCCTCATAAACCTTCAATGCATCAAAATACTTCTCCTCCATTACTCTAACTTGCGCAATTAACAACTTAAAATCCCTCAAATCCGAATTCTTCTTTTCTTTCTTACATTTATCCATTGCACTCTCAATTCTTTTCAACACAACTTCCAAGGAACCACCGGCTTCCGAATTCGCCATTACAAGGCCATGATAAGCCTCGACGCGAAGTGGGTCTTTTTGTAAAATTGCTTCAAAACCATCTCTAGCGGACTCAAAATCTCCACTGTAAGTGTAAATTTGTGATTTCAACAATGGCCATTCATCTTCATTTGGCTCCAGCTCGATTAATCGGTCAACAACTTCAATTGCTTCTAGAAGTTTCTTTGATTTGATCCTCACCTCCATAAGAGACCGTAGAGCTTCGATATCATTGGGGTTTTGAGCCAGATGATCTTGAAGAGCTCTCTCTTGTTCTTCAAGCGAAACATTTTCTTTCGATGATTCTTTTGTGGGTTCCACTGTGGATGGTGTGGCGACCGGGGAGGCGATTGCGGATTTGATGTTGAAGCGCGTGAAGAATAATGCGGCAGCGGCCGTGAGAGTGATGGAAGTCGTTCTGATGATAGTGGTGAGGGTTTGATTGGGTGGGGTGGTGCGGGATGAGGATGAGGCTCTGATGGAGGTGGAGAGTTTGAAGGGTGATGATGACGGAGGCCGCGTTTTGAAGGAGAGGAAAGTGATGGGTTTAGGAAATGATAGACGGTGGGGATTGAGTGAGAGGTTAAGGGGTTGTTGATGGCTGTGCAGTTTAGCAATTGAATCCATTTTTTTTTTTTTCCCTAATAGAACTTTTTCCAGAAAGAAGGCTAAACCCTGGTGATAAAGCAGAAGAAGAGAAGAGAGTGCAAAACCCTGGAGTGGAGAAAAGACGAGAATATGCCAGTTTTTGGTACTGGAAGAACATAATTAACGTTGCCGTTTTGAATTTTCATTAGCCATTGGGCCAATTGGGGTTTTAGCTTATGGGTCACATTTAGGCCGACTTGGTCCAAGGACCAGTTTGCTTTGTTTGATTTAGCTTCCAACTCGTATTCCTATATCTCTCCGAGGAATTTTATCATAATTCTTAAAAGCAATTCAAAAGCCGCCTTCACGAATTGCTAACATTAACCGGTTGTTATTCCCTATTTTTCGTATCCATAGTGGCTACAAACTTACTTATTGTAAATAATTATTTTCTAACATGGTTAAATATATATATATGAAATTAATTAATTAATCTAATCACTTTAAAATCTTTATTTTCTAAATCATATTAATTAACTACTCATCCTGTTATGTAATATTATGGTAATATTCATTGAAAATTTGTTTAATTAGTTTTTATATATATATATATATTTACATGTATTTGTGGATTAATTTTTGCATTAACCAAAGCTAAATTTATTACTTTTTGAACTAAACAAATATCAGAATACATCTAATTTTTTATCGATTATTAAATTATTTAAAACCATAATCAACTCAAATATGATACTATTAATAGTTAGTTATTTATAAATAATAGAAATTTAACATTAGTGTTAATCAAATCAATGCAATTCAATGCATTCATTTATGTTGTTTAATTAAAAATATTATCCTTCTAAAATATAGATCATATCTTTAATAATTTAAGGGATGCATACGCTGGTTTTCATGTTAAATAATTTTCTCAGAATTCTTGTACCCATCGTTCTCTATTTCTCTATAATTCTAGCATTTTGACATAACAAAGTACTAATCATCAGATGATCAAGACTCCTCAGTAATGATCTCGCTACAAGCGTTGATCTCCTTAGCTTCTTCTTCCCGAGACCAGATTGACCGCAACACAAGTTTATGACTTGAATGGTGCTGCCAACTACCTCTTCTTCGTCTATTTTTGTTATTTTCCTTCATCTCAAAATGGTTATTTCCCAAAGTCGTGTAGGTTTAAATCCATTTGACTTGCACGAAACTCTTGAACAGTAAATTCATCAACTAAATGGGCAGCATCTCGGCTCAAGTCAAAGTATCTTGCTTGCAGTCCTAAATGATTTCCTTCTCCAATAGGCTTCTCTCCTCATCTTAGAGATTGGGCTAGACCACAGCCCAAACCTTGAGCGTTCCCTCACACCCATCCTCTATATAGGTACATTGAAACATCAAAACTTTGCTCCTTAATTATAAATTAGTTAATAGACAAGTGGGCACATCGAAGTTACAAAAACCTATGTTTCAATAAATTATCTGTTTCTACAAAATACATCATAAAAACAAAATAAATTGTTGATCCATTTTGTAATATTGATTTTTAACAAACAAGATACCACATGCAAACAATATTTTGCAGCGAATCACTAACATGCTTGGTAGCTAAACTTAAAATATAAGTTAATCTTTTTTTTTTTTTTAACGCCATAGGAAACCCTAAATAATATTAAATAAACTAGTTAACTTGCTCCTAAACTATATAGGACTATATTTATACTTTATTTTGAATATCAAAACTCTATAAAGACTTAAAAACAAGCCCAAAAAGAAAAAAACAAAAAGTATTGAAGTCCAAAAACAATTAGATCACATCAAAATATTAAATCGAATCTTTAGTTAATTTTTGTTGTTGTCTTATGTTATTTGTACTCTTTTGAATTCATGATAAAAAAAAGGACAATGTTTGTTAAAAAAAAATTATAAATTTTTTATTCATGTATGTATTGGTAATTTATAATGATGCCACATATAATTGAAAAACAAATATAAAATAAAAAAAGTGCATAATAATATAATGTTAAGTAAATTTTTTTAGTAATTATTTTAAGAGTTACATATATTTCTTCAAATTGATATAGAAATATTATCGCAATCATGACACGTATCTTTCACTATAAAAAATTCACTAAATAACAATAGATTTTAGCTACGGATGTAAAACCACTCGTTTAGTAACGATTAAATAACATACTTTTAACGACAAAATAGAAATTGACTTGCAAATAATTGTCGGCAATATATCAATTTTCGTCGCTAAATATGACGTCAAAAACCATTTGGGAGTTTTAGCAACGGATTAGCTATAGAAAATAGCAAAGAGATATTAATCCCATTGCTAAAATTTTTTTGGCTTTTAGGATGGCTAAGCGATCATTGTTTAGCAATGGGAATACTCCCGTTGCTAAATGTTGAATTTTTGGACGGTCTTTGAAAATTCAACGATCGTGCCAAAGGTCACTATTTATCCGATGGACACCAATGTCTATCACCAAATAGTGATCGATCAGCAATTGAGAATGTTCTCATCAGCGATTTACTACATTTTAAATCAAGGCGACAACCACTCCCCTTTTATTTTCCCCCATTTCTCTTCCTCGTCAAGTCGTTACCCCTCCCCCAACCCTTCAAAATCTCAACAAAACTCCCCTAGTCCACACCCCATCAATTCACACTCTCTTCAAACTCATTTCTCCTAAAACAATTCAATTTTGTGTTCCTTCATTTCGGCCAATTTCATCTAAATTAGGTAAGTTTTTTTTCTCATTTATTTTCTTAATCAAAGTTAGCAATTTATTATAATTGTTAGGTTAATTTTAATTATAATTGCTTGATTTATAATTGTGTATATATTTAATTGTTAGTTTGTTGATTAATTTGTTGAATTTTATTAATTATTAGGTTAATTTGTTAATTAAATATAATTTAAATTTAATCAAAATTAATTGTAAGTTATTAAGTTTATTTTATTAATTTTAGTTAATTATATTTAATTGACTAAACTATAATAAATTGTTTAATTTTTCTTAATTAATTTAATTTAATTTAATTAATTGTTATTTTAAATTTAATTTGGTTAGAATTTGAATTAATTAGGTTAATTTGATTTATGTTTAGTTAATTAATCGAGTTAATTATGTTTAATTGGTTGGATTAGAACAAATTTGTTAATTAAATGTAAAATAATTATCAATAAGTTAATTTAATTTTTATTTTAAATTTAATTTGGTTAGAATTAGAATCAATTAAGTTAATTGGATTTATGTTTAGTTAATTAATTAATTCGGTTAATTAAGTTATTAAATGTAATATTTTTGTTAATTAAGTTAATTAAATTGTTATTTTATATTTAATTTGGTTAGAATTAGAATTAATTAAGTTAATTTTATTTATGTTTAATTAATTAATTAATTAATTAATTTTATTTAATTGGTTGAATTATAGCTTTATTTATATTAAAACTTGTTAATTTATTGTTATTTTAAATTTAATTTTGTTAAAATTAGAATTAATTAAGTTAAATTGATTTTTATTTATTTAATTAATCATGTTTAATTGGTTGAATTATAAATTTATTTATTTTAAAAGTTGTTAATTTATTGTTATTTTAAATTTAATTTGGTAAGAATTAGAATTAATTAAGTTAACTTGGTTTTTAATTAATTAATTAATTAATTAATTAGTTTAATTATTTATAATTGGTAGAATTATAACTTTACTTATAATAATACTTGTTAATTTATTGTTATTTTAGATTTAATTAAGTTAGAATTAGAATTAATTAGTTTAGAATTAAAATTAATTAGTTTAATTACTCTTATATAATTATTAAAGTGTGCTCGAGATATGCTTGTAATATATCGAACTTGAAGGGTTAGAGACCTTGGAGAATTGAGAAAAAACAAAGTTGATTCAATGCTCTATGATGAAGTTGAGAGGAAGAGTTTGCGAATTAATTTTGATGGAGTGTTCGAGACAATTGTTTATCTTGGTGTGCTTAATATTTATGTGATTGTTTAGAGTATTTATTAGCTGAGAAATGTGCAATTGACATGAAAGACTTTGCCAAAATTTTGTTAGATTTTTAAGAAAATTAATAATTAAATAATTTTGTTATGCCTTGGAAATGCGAAACAAAATAATGAGATCCGATCATGAATGGAGGTATGTTAGGTGTATCAATGGATATTTACATAATGATTTTGTTAATGGGGTTGAAGAATTGGCTATATTTGCTCTTACTTATCTTGAATGTATGGATGAAAGAAAGTTAATGTGTCCTTGCAATCACTATAAGTATCGAAATCAAAATTTTGAAGAGGTTTAGATGATTAAATATCATTTAGTGAGATACGGCATGGATATCATGACTTGATACACCATAAAAAATTGACCGGAGGAGTTATGTTGTGTTAAAAAAATTTCATGAAGACAAAGGGAGTTGTAGTCAACCCCTCAATCCATATGAAACAATAGTTATGGATGTTGCCGATACATAATTTAATTAGTTTATCACGGACGAGGAACCGGATCCTAAAGTTTAAGTTTTTTATGGCAGTTGTCTACGGTTGCTTGATTGATAAACCTTAAGTCGGAATGTCATTTTTTTGGAAAAGTGTTACGATGAGATATATAGGTTGATGTCAATTGATAACTTTATAACAAAGGATTTTTACGAGCACTAAAAATTGATGAAGGGGATGAGTTCACCAATAAGAAATATTTACTCTTATAATAGAGACTGCATAATTTATTAAGGTGAAGATAATGAATTAATTGCTTGTAAGTTTTATGAACATCCTTGATATCGAAGTTCAAGATGAAGATTGATAAGGGCAAAACATGTTCCATTCAAAAACATGTACTACTTTTCGTTTACTCGCATTTGTAAAGATTGTATGCATCTAATGCCACGGTTGAGCACATAATGTGGCACATCGAACATGTGATTGGAGAGAAGTTATGTGTCATTACTCTAACTCTATTGCATGATAGTGTTTTAATCAAACACATCCTTTTTTTGTATCAAAAAGAAGAAACTTCAAATTGAGAGTTTGCACTAATGGGTTTCAACCTTCGATCAATTTGGTGTTCAATATTCTTCTTGGTTGGTAATTATGTTGCCTTACAATTTGCTGCCATGAATGTTTATGAAAGAAGAATACATGTCCTTAACAATTATTGTTTCGAGACCATCAAACCCAAAGCATAATCTTGATCCGTTCTTATTGCCCTTGATTGCGAAGTTGCTTCATTTATGAGAAGTTGATGTGATGACATACGATGTTTTTTGAAAGTAGAATTTTTTATTATGTGTCACTATAATGTGGATAATCAATGACTTTCTTGCATATTTGATATTATTCGATAGGGGTATTGCGGGGAAATTTTCATGTCCTTATTGTATGGAGAATTCTAATGCTTTCATCCTTCCCGATGAAAGAAAGAGCTCACGGTTTGACAATCATCGAAAGGTTCTACCTAAAAATCATCTATTTAGAAGGAAAAAGAAGTCATTTACCAAAAGTAAAATTATGAGGGATAGCCCTCCTCGATCTAGTTTGGAGTATAAAATATCTACTTACGAATCTATGGCCACAATGAAAGTATAACAATAGAGCATGATTGATTTACTTGAGAGTTAAGATATTCGGAGATCGAAAAAAACTTGTATGATCATAATCGAATAGACACCAAACCAAGTTCGAGATCACATTGTGATAAATTGATATGAGAATTGAATTGTATGAAAACCATTTTTATGAAAGGTTGTTGCGAATTAAATAATCCATTTTGATAATTGGGTAGTCATGATGCACGATTAAAGGCCAAACTTGATTAATGTATGGATACATAAAAGAATTATCTTTTATTTCTTGATACATTGCCAACATATCTAGAAACTTATTAAGTCATTCGCATTAAACTTGGCATTGACCAAGGTAAATAGAAGTGAAGAATTATGAAGAAAAATATAAATTGAAATAATTAATTTCAATTCTTTAAACGCCAAGAGAATTTTGAAAAAAAAAGTTTCCCAAAATTCAAAGGTAATTTAGAAAATAATTTCCTAAATTAGCTTGTTTAAAATATTCGGCCTAGCTTATTTATATGGTTCATCTATTATCGAGTCATTAGGCCCAAGTTGTTGGGCCGATAGGCTTAAATGAAAGCCTATAAGGAGTATTTTAATAAAAGGGGTATTTTTGAAAACTTTTGAAAAAATTTTATTAAAACCTAAATGAGGGCTTTCTAAACAAATATGCATCAAACCACTCACTCGAGGGGAGAGCAAGGCTGGCCGAATCCTTCTCAAAAGAAAAGGTGTGGAACTTTCTTCATTTTTCAAATAAAGTGGAGCTAGCATCTCGCATTTTCACCTCTCTCGTATTGATGTCCAAAGCTACGTGGATTATAACTAGAGATTAGACACTTGGATAGTTCAATCTACAATCTCATGAATTTGCTTCAAGAGGTAATGATCCAAACTTCTTATTATAATTATTTGTTTCAATGATGATCCTAGATTTTAGATCAAAGAAAAACAAAAATTATTATTCATTTTGCTTCTACGTAGAATGTTTTTCCTTCATTCCATACGATTATTGAGGTTATAAATATTAAATGAGCTTCCAATACACCCACTAAGGTCAAGTTTGAAAAAAAACAAGTAAGAAATCACCTGTTTTTTGGAGTAGCACTAAACTACCTCTTAGAAAGCTTGAATACATTTTGAGTCTTCACTAAGTACACTTGCCAAAGACTCATAAAGGCTACTAATATATCCAAATGATCACGATAATGACACATGTCTCCTTACTCTTTTCAAAGGCCACCCGGACAAGATTTCACCACGGACGGGACAACCTTGATCAACCATTAAAGGGCTCATAATCGAGTAAAACCTAGGCGATCAACATGAGAAAATGGCCTTAAAAAAAAAAAACAACACCTCTTCCATTTCTTAAAAGAAAAGAACATATATTTAATGAAGGTGTGACTTTCCGAGATGTCATGTCACATTACTACTAAATATGATTGCATATGCACGGTTAAACAATGACGTTAGTCTAAAGAAATTCTAAATTCAAATAGATGTCATAAGCTATTGAATACAAAGAAAGAGACTAACCTACACTCCGCTTCATGCAAACCGATCATTTCCTCACATATATAAAGGTTAGCACACCAAGTATTACAGATTCTATCTTCTAAACTAAAAAAGAGATATTATATCACATATTTTCTCTCATTAAGAGCTAAATATTATTAAACCTATTCGAGGCCAAAAATCTCTCTTTGTATGTGAACTTAGCAACCGAGAGAGTCCTCCGAACATTAAAGAATGACTTGTTTTACAACCATTGATTCAACATACAACAAATTACATCAACCACATGATCACTCTAGATTAAAAGTCATCTAACTATCAATATTATATGTGGATAACAATCTCATCACAAACTATTAATTATTAATTTTTGAAATATATTTAAATTGTGTCTCCAATTCTTAGTTAAGTATAATTATAAATTATATCATATAGTTCAAAAATTAAACAAATTAATTTATATAAGATTATTGCAAAGTCAAACGTGTTTAGTTAATAACATCTAAATTCATCCATTTATATATAATTATAAACAATTAATTTATTAGATATTAAAAATATATAAATTAATTAAATAATATGCATAAAAAAACTAGTCTTATTTAAACAGTGGAGGCGTTTTTTGGTCAAACCTTCAAGTCTCCCAAGCCATCCTTAATAAGACGCCATTAGATGTTCTTATTTTTCATTTTGTTTTGTTCTGGAGAGGGTAGCAAGATGCAATGTCCTTGATTGGTTTCCCACTCGCAAAGTGTTTATGCTTGACTTGGCAAGCCAAAATTCAAAGCACGATTTCGAAAGCTACTGATCAGAAAATCTAACCAACTTACGTGTTAAGAAATCATTGTAGGGATTGATGGATCACAACTCTAATTATTGGCCACTTCTCACCATAGACTTCCCCTCAAATGATACGATAACTACAGTTGTCATCACTCCCTCCCCAGTACCTTCACCTCTCTTAGCTCGCTAATTAATTGATCAAAAAACCAGTGCCAAAAAGCTTGGGACAAAGACTACCTATGACTTTCCAAATGGTCCCCAATTCTTGATTCTTTTTTAGCATTAATTCATCATATCACAATCACAAGAAGCGGAGAGAACAAATATATATATAACACAACAAGTATTATTGGGCGGCTAAATGAATATATATATATATATTTTTTTTTTTTTACAAAGACAAAGCCACAATAGATCCATCGGACGCCGATACATCCTAGAGGGTAGTGCCACGTTTACGCAACGTGCCATGGTTCCATGCAACCTCGTGCCCCCCACGTTGACCCCACATGCTGTCCACGCAATTCCCAATCCTACATCAAAACGGTGCTGCCCCTACACTACGCCGTTTAGCAGTCCATTTCGTCTAAGGACTTTGCGGCCGCTGCGCCTGATCTCATGATCTTTTGGAAACCTAACTAGGGTTTTTTTCCTCCCTTATTTTAATAAGAGTAGGGATGAGTACTAAATGCGAAACCATATTAATTTGCCCTTGAGTTGCCATGCATATTACTAAAAGAACCTGCTACATGGCCGGATAGCAAACTCGAAGATTCGAGCCAAGTACAAACGTTATTTAATTTGATCATCAAGTTTTAGCTACTTCTATTACTCCGTTTGGAAAGATGCGAATCATTCATGTCTTGGATCCTGTGCTTGTGTTCCCTTCTTGAGCGGCTTTCTCTTCTCTTCTCTTCTCGTAGGCCTCGAAGAACTCCTTGTTCTCTTTCTCCAACTCCTTCCATACTGTTGGAATATTAAATATGTACAAGTTACTCCACAATTTTATGGTTTTATTGCATAATTACCTTGTTAAGTGACTATATATATATACACACACTGGTACCTGTGGAAGTAATGACAGGTTTGATGTTAGCATGCTTGGAGAGAGTTTCCATGCACTCTTCTTTGCTCATGTTGAATATGATGCACTCTTCGATTAGATGATGCACCTGCATCATCAATCACACACCTTATATCACTTCCATGCATAAACCAAATGTTACTATACATCTTCAATATTATTTTATCAAACGATTCTTCAAATACGTACCATGTGGATGTATGAAGCAGAAGAATCATCAGTACCCATGCTCCTTTATGTGTGTGTGTGTATATATATATGACCACTATGCAAGTACGTACTCTAGCTTGTGTATATATATAGAAGATCAAGAGATTAAATCAAGATTCATGAGAGAGAATAGGCTAGCTAGAATATGCTAAGATCAGAAAACAACTAGAACGGAGAAGGGAAAAGAGAAGACACCAAGAAAAAGGAGGAGGAGAGAGCAGATCAAAGAAAGCCAAAAGGTTTGATAACAACTGTGATAGAAAATGGGGGCTGGGGTGACTTCACGCTCCAGCCAGGTTAAAATAGGCAGATTAAGGAGTTGATCACTACTCTCACAGGCCTTGGCTAGTTTACCAATAATCATGTATGACGTCATGGTAATGAGCCCACGTGGGAGGAGGGCGATGATTGGTGGAGAGGGGATTAGAGGAGATTTTATAAGCAAACGTCATTTGTCGTCTTACGTGGCCACTAGGGCACGTGACAGTGGGGTCTTCGACTTTGCCTTTTTAAACCAGACCCCGGAGCCGAAGGGCTCTCTCCGAAGTCCATATTCGGTTTCACTCTGCAAGACAATTTAACAAGGGCCCGCAGTTTAGGCCTGTAAGATGATACCAAAAGCCCGTGAAATTGCCGTATCGTCTACGCCAGCACTATTTAATCTTCCACCAAAATATACAAAATTAATTAATGACATATGAACAACATAAAAGAGATGGAGCAATGTTTTTTTTTCTTTATATTATAGAAAAATTACTATATGACGAGTCCGTAAATCTTGATTGATAATGAATAAAGTGGTTTGTATTTGGTTGGAAAAGTTTGACAGTTGATAGTGAACTAGCTAAATTAGAGAGTAAATGTTTTAATATTGATGTGTTACAGCTAAACTGATACAATGATGTCATAGTTAGAAATTAGACAAAAATAATTTTAAAAATATGATTTTGTTTAATGAATGTATTGCATATTCCCTCACAGCTTGGGATTAAGTGCGAACCATCGATTGTTGATGGAGAGCCTACAGACTACTTTAGCTGTCCTGTGCTTGAATTGTTCGGGGCGATGCTAGAGCTTCCATGATTGTTCTCGTACAAGAAATTAGATGAGGATCTACATCCTTACATGTGTCGCGTTAGGAATGGCACATAATTTCTCAGATCGTTTTAAAAAACCATACTTAGTTGCGGTATCGTCTACAGCTACTCCATCTTCCTTGTTATTCTAAACAACCTGTCATGTTCTGCTATGTCATCACAATAATAATAACAACTCGCTTTGACGATAATTTTGGAATAGCAAGTGAAAAGAGAACGGGCACTTAAATGTCAATTAGGCAATAGGAATGGAACTGTATATGTGCAGTTTTATAATTTTAGTTGCAAGCAAGATATGTTGCCGCATGTGTGTGCCTATGTTATTCAAACATTCAAAACATGGGTTTTGATATTTCTAAAAGAAGGAAAAAGAAAAAAGCATCCTTTAATTAACCAAGTGGCAAGGTATTTATTTATTTATTTATTGTTGTGCCTTTTTATTTTATTTTTGTTTTAAATTCATTCATTTCTTTTTTAACTCACACACTCAAAACTCTTAGCTGAACTAATATTAAGATTTGAACCCGTAACCTTTTCGTTACAAAAAACCATTACCATTGAGTTACAAATTCTTTGGTTCATTCTTTTATGTTTGATTTCTGTCTTAATCTTATCTCTCCGTTAACTTTTGAACTAACAAAGTTAATTTTTTTTCCCCCTATCTTAAATCTAATCTATTTACTCTGTTTTTCATTTCAATCTTGTTTTTTCTACCAAATTTAAATAAATAATTTAAAAAAGACAAAAAAAAAATTGAAAAAATGAAGATATATTCGATCATTTTCCCTTAAAAAAAAAGGTGAAGTTAAAAATATCTTTTTATCCAAATATTTTTAGGAGTTTAAATTTATCTCTATGATAGTAAATAACTTTTAAGCATAAATAAAATATTTATAGCATTCTTTTTTAAATGCGAACAGAATTTTGATTAAAATTGTAAAATTAAAAAAATTATAAAATCAAAATAAGTAAAGTATTGTAGACTCTTTTAACGCATAATAAAATTACAAATACCACTCAAAATTTGAAAATTTAACTAAAACTCTTTTTTTATTTTTTAAAAATATTATAAATATTTTATTTGCACTAAAAATTTATTTACTATCATAGAGATAAATAAAAGAAACACTGCAAATAATTTATTTTATACTCAAAATTTAATTATTATCATAGAGAGAAATTTGAACCCATAAAAAATATTTAGATTAAAATTTTTTTCATTTTAATCTTTTTTTTTTAGAGAATGACCATATATATCCTTTTCTTTTTTCAATTATTTATTTAAATTTCATAAAAAATAAGATTAAGAATAAAAAACCAAAGGAATGAGATTAAGCCATGAAAAAAAATATAACACTTTTGATTCGAAATTTAACGAGAGAGATGAATTTAAGACAAAAATTAACATAAAAAATAAATTTAAGACAAAAGAAATTAAAAAAGAGAAAAAAAAGCCTCAACAACCATTTACTATATAGCTAAAACAGCTAAAGTTTTTTAACGAGTGAAATCAATGTTCATTTGAATAGTGCTTAGGTTTTTTTTTTTTTGGAATTTTCAAGTTATTTAATTTTCATTTCTAAAATTTTAAAATAAAAATTTTAATCTCGTAACTCATACACTACACATGCCTTTTCTTTTTTCTTTGGTTTTTTCCTTTGCTTTTTTTCATTAATTTATGTTTTTTTTCATTTAATTAACTCGTTAAAATTTTGAAAAATCAATTTTCCTTTGCTTTTTTTTTCCAATCAATTTATGTTCTTTTTTTATTTAATTGGGTGTTAAAATTTTTAAAAATCAATCGTAATTTTTTTCCATACAAACTGACGATTATATAATATATCTTTGTATATTTTAAAATTAACATATACTTCATCTTATATTAATCATATTATTTAAATTTTATTCTTTGAATTTATCATTTTTTTATGAAAATTCTCATCCAATTAATATTTTTATATGAAATTTTATTTATTGATATTATATAATTAATTTTTCTCTATATTTGAATTTTAGAATAAAATTTTAAAAGATGATTTTTTAAAAAAAATAAATTGTTATAATATATATCATGAATTATTTGAATTTTTAAATGATAGGCTGCATGTATGTGATGCCCCCACCCGGTTCACTCTCTATTACCTAAATAGGAGTAACTATGCAAGGCGCGTCACTGCGAGACGATCAATTTTTGAATTTACCTTAAACACATGTGTGTTTATACATTAAGGACTTATCATACAATAAAACGTGATCAAGACAATTTACATAATATTAACAAAACGAGTTGAAGAAATTATAAAATTTATTTACAAAACCATCAAAATATTTATTGACACCCCAACCCTAAAATTACAAATAAACAAAATAAAATCCCCTAAGGTTTATGTCACCCACGAGCCCTTTTGGAGGAAATAGCGACGTCTTTATTAGTACTACGATCAACGCTACCTATCATAACATGCAAATAACAATGAGGTGAGCTGAAGCTTAGTAAGTAGGGTGATGCACGTGATATGCAATGAAGTTACGTTTCCCATTCTACCCATCCATTTTTAATTCGGGTACTCTAGGTATTAGCAAGTCCGTGCGTTTCATATCTCGGTGATCGCATTATCACCTACTACTCTATTACTCTCTCTCGGTGATCTCATTATCACCTATTGCTCACAACATAATTATCCCTCGTTGTAGCACACGGTTAGCGGAATCATCCCTCGCTTAACGGTGTTAGTAATAGAGCATGCACATGGTTTCATGCTCGTTACCCATTCCATTCGGTTCGATTACCAAACCTGTTTTATCTCATGATTCTATGATGTTTCTCGATTTCATATCACCTCGAATGCACGTGATGCAAATTGTATTATATTTAACACATTTGACTAATTATGCTATCACCATTTTTTTCTCGGACCGTTCCCGTGTCCGATGCATACTCGGAACTTCACGGGTGTTTCATGTACCATTTAAAGTATTCAAAATGAGAATATAATTTTCGTTCATCGATAGCATTCATTGCATAAATCTATTTCGTACTTATAAGTTTTTCATATCTCGTACGGGTAAGTCTAGACTCGGATTTTCGGTGTATAACTTAGCGTATGAGATCGGTTAATCCTAAGGATTTATAGATGACATACTTAAGCTAAATTTTTGCTTAATCCGAACATTTAATCTTGATAGTCGAAGTCGACTCATAAAAGGTCTAGGTTTTAATTTCGATTTTTCTTGAATTCTCTTTTTCCATTACCCTATTTATATGTCATGTAATCATTGATCTCTACTTGCATTCATCTTCACTTCTTGATCTCTATTTACACAAAAGGGATTCAATGTTAATTATTTTCTCTCCTAGGCCAAATGGTCCCAAAATAAGTAAGAAATTGTTTTTTCATTTCTAGGTCACTTCCTTTTTAATGACTTACCAACTCATACTTAGAAGAGTTACTAAAGAGATTTAAACCTTAAGGTCCACCAAGGAACCCAAATTTAGTGATCAAATATCCAATTTACCTAATGAAGTCCAAAACCCTATTTTTCTTTTAGTTAGGCCGGATGGGTTGTTAAAATAGCCATAGATTGCCTTTTTTTTGTCTAGTGAATTTATTTTCATCCTAAACTATTAACCCATTCCTAATTGAGTTACCATGATATTCTAGGCCCTTAATTTATTCAAACGATCAATTCTTTCTCCATTTTCCTCACTTGGCCGAATGGTTTTAGCCTAGGGAAACTCTAGAAGTGTATTTCTTTTTCTTTCAAATTTAAGCTTACCAAACCTAGGTTAAGTTCAATCCATTCAATCCATACCCTTTTTCTTCCTTTTTTCCTTTCCAACCCATCCACGCATTTAAACCTATCAAACAAGCTTTGCATGACAACAAAACACATAAATCCATCATAATTTAGCAAGCCCTAACACCAACACAAACAACCATAGCAATCCATAGAAAAATTATTACAAACCCATGAAAGGACAAAAGAAACATCTTGTTCTTTCTTCAACAATTTATATATATATATATTAACTATTTCTTTATTTTTCGATCGCTCGGAAGGGACAAAAGAAACATCTTGTTCTTTCTTCAACTATTTCGATCTTTAGTGGACCTCTCAATACGATTCAAACCCGGATAAAGTTCTAACCATCCGTTAGAGAAAAAAGAACAAATAAATCTTGTAGGATTCCCAAGAGTTTGATAAAATATAAAATAAGGATATACAAACAAGAACCAATCCCAATGAAAAGGCAGAATAAATTAGATTGGTAAGTAATACCACTCCTGGACCTTCTAATATAAGACTCGATCCTAGAAAGAGTAATATATATATATACAAACAAGAACCAATCTCAATGAAAAGGCAAAATAAATTAGATTGGTAAGTAATACCACTCCTAGATCTCCTAACATAAGACCTAGTCCTAGAAAGCGTTATACAAACGAGAACCAATCCCAATGAAAAGGCGAGAATAAATTGGATTGGTAAGTAATACTACTTCTCGGCCTCCTAATATGAGACCTAATCCTAGAAAGAGTAATATATATATATATATATATATATATATATAAAGAAATTAATAGGATATTTTCATAAAAAATAACAAATCGAAGAAATCATCTTAAAACATGAAAGCAAAAAAATCATCTCAAGAAATGACAAATAAAAAAAAAATCGTACTTCTTTATTGCCAAGCTATATGACCCCCCTAAAAAAAATTTTATATTAATTTAACACAAAAATCAATAATAAAAAAAATTAAAAATATATTGTTAGAAAAAACAAAAGCAAAGAAAAAAATGGATTGGGCTTGTGCCTTTGAAATTATAGATGTGTCATGCACTTGCAAATTTCGACGAACTTGAGCTAATCGAAAAAATGGTTTTTTTGTAGTTTTTCATCCCAAAACCCAATCTGGGCATCATTTTCTCCTAAACGCCTTAAAAACATTAAATGAGATAAAGAAACATGCTTGAAATCTTAAAATTCATTCTAATTCATATATATATATATATAAAAGGCTAATTCAAACTTAAAAGCTCATGGTATTTTATAGTTTTGATCCACCTTTGACTATTTTATATATTGAAACCTTGGTAAACAATCTCTATTTTGCGATAAACAAATTGAATGAAAAATGACCAATTAAAATTATTGAAATGAGCTTGACCAACTTTTTCTCCCTCCTTCCTCATCTTTTTTCGTTTCTCTCTCCATCTACAAACCAAACCGTGTCACAAATAAAATTAAAAATTAAAATAAAACATTTCAAAAATATTATAGACCAAAATGTAATATTTTTTATAACTCACTTATAATTGCTTGAAAATAATGTAAAAAATACAAAAATGACAGGGGTTTGAGTCCACGGTGTAGCCGAGTCTAGCGTTACAGTGACTACGGCAACCCATCCCAAATGTTTTAGGTTTTTTTCTTTAATTTTTTTTATTTGACAAATTTTATTCAATTAGCTGAAAAGAAAAATACAAAAGGATTCAGTTGATCAAAATAATTACAGATGAATTTTTTTAAGGAATTGACGAAAGCAGATGATGCAAATAATGAGTATTGTCGAAGAAAGCAAAACCTTCCATACCCCACCGTTTCAACTTTCAACTTCTAGCCTGATGAGGTTGTGGGTCACATTATAGAGTCTCTGAACTTTACCTTCGCTGTAGTATTATTTTAATCAAAACATTAGAGCACTACTACTTATAATATTATTATTTCCTCTAAATGCATTACAGATAATATCTATCTATTATGCTCTTATGCAATTACAGCTAATAAGCGATCATGACATTTTTATTGTTGGTTCTGAGCTCCCAGCCATATTACCGTCGACCTAGCAGTGTTAGCATGTGCTTAAGGTGAGGAGAAACTAATTAATTGTTCTTGTACATAATTCATTCGGTTTATATGCACCAAAACTGTCCGATTGAATTGCCTTCAGAGTATGCCCCTCTATGCTGTCCCGTCTCTTTATGAAGTATTTGTAAAGAATTAAACCATCAAATTTGACAAAGGAAGGAGTGAAAAAGAATTCCTGGGTATGCTGTTGGCAATAAATCAAGACGATAAACAAAATAAAATTAAAAGAAAATTTCAGTGAAAAAAAAAAATCTGAGACATGCAACAACAAATTTTAATTTTTCTTCATCTTCGCAAAGCAAAGCAGAAATCATCTTGCGGGTACACAATCAATTTGGATCAGAAACCCAAAAAATAAAAGGCAAATGGGCACTGTGGGGAAGAGAATACACTTCACTATATGGAACAATGGTACACTCAACCTGACATCAAATAATGTCAGTCAACCCAATCGCTGCATGTTCTCTTTGTTTATATGGTTGCTCGAAGCTTATCATAACGAAGAATGATGAATCCAGATTACAAGGGATAGCCGTATCTTCTAAGGTCTCTTGAGAAGAATGGGTGCCTTAATGCTTCCCTGGCTTTGAGCCGCTCTGCTGGATCATATCTTAGAAGTCCTTGCAACAGATCAATTAAATCACCAGCAGAATGATCCACGTGCTGCATTATTAGGTTCTGCCAAAGAAATTCGAAACAGTACATAAATTTGCAATTGCATAAAGTGAGGAATTAAAAGAGAGGAGGGAAGTGGAGAAAACAGGTAGGAATAAAAGGTGGACGGCAGATCATCAAAGTGCACGTTATAACAGGGTCAGAAAACCAAGCCATGCCCAAGAAAAGAACAAAAACTGATTAACAGGCTACTCCTTTTAAAGCGAATAGATGTAGTTGATTTGTTTCTTTCGACAGAGAATGAAGGCAGGCAAGAAATAGCTATTTCAAGAAGAAAGGTTTGCTAGCTATTCTGGTAATTAAGATAGGTGAATGATATTCTCAAGAATTTAAGAAAGGCAACCAGCTCTCATTCAACTATGCCTTAATAAAGACTTCTCTTTTACCATTAGTCACTACCAAAATCAACCGCTGTTAATTTCTAGGTACTTTTTGCAGTGCAAGTATGGGCTGGCAATAGGTTACTTCTACAAGTGAACTAACTGAGTTGGATTCTGGAAAATTACAGGCAGACGAGGCAACTTCGTAACTGCTCTCATGCTTTCTCTTGAAGTTGTACCATCGGGCCAATCCAATCGCACACCTCTCCTGAAATATTTCTCAGCACGTCGACTGCAATGAGATCAGGCACAAAGTAAGTAATTCATCCACATGAGAGATGGATACAAACAAATAACACAATTACTGCAAATTATCTTACTCAGCCCTGACCGCCATATGTTGTGGCAGTGGCCCTAAAACTCTCTCCATCATGGCAAGATGCTCCAAGTTCTCATGAGTTTGAAAAAGCGCCTCACCCTAGTCATGGCCAAACCAAAATAACATGAACATAAATTAGCATCCTTCAAGTATGTAACATTTAATTACAGTTCACACTTTTTTTAAAGGCCTAAGTCACAAAGTAGCCCATCTAACAACACAAAATCACCCAGGCCAAACATGTCTTATTAATAAACCTGTCATATATATATATATATATATATTTCTCTGGCAGTTCCAATCCAGAGCAGCCTTTCTTACTTAACCTTTCACTAGAAACCCTTTCTGGCCAAGAAGAACCAGAACCATTACTCAGCAGTATCAGTAAATAGTGAGATCGCATGCATGAAAATGCAATCAAGGGGAGATTATAAAAAACTGAAGTTACTTACAGAACATAATTCAACAAGTATGCAACCAACACTCCATATATCACAGGGATAGTTCCATCCAAGACCTGCAGAAAACATGCCATGGAATGTAATTAGACGACAAGCAGCAAAACATCAGAGCAAGAATAGATTCACCGTGATTACCTAAAATAACCTCTGGTGCACGATAATGCCGTGTTGACACCACATAGCTGTGATCCTGATGTTCAAATGTAGTACTTCCAAAATCAATGAGCTTAATAGCGCTTGACTTGGGAAGATTCTTGAAGTAGGAACCATCTTTTGTGGACCGGGAAAGAAACTAAATCAAACAAAAGGGGAAAAGAAAATCATCAGTCTATCAACTTTGAGGTGAATAGAAAACAAAAAATTCAACCATGGCTTGGGCTGGGATTTGGAAACAAGAGACAGCCCCATTGTCATGTATCTCCTGGCGATTATCATGAATCCAAACAAAACTTTCAAACTGCAAGTATGTTATATGATTAGAGTATTAAGTTAAATATGAGTAACATGTCTAAAAAAGGATTGACATGGCACCAAATATTCTAATAATGTTGCTGTAGATTGAGAATCAAAACAAAAGTTTAATGTCATTAAGAACTTCAAAAGATGTAAAAACAAACATGCAAGAAAGAAAGAAGTAATTATTTGATTTTGGGTAAGAGAAGCTCCAGTTGCGTTCCAAATTTCATTTCATTTATACTCTTAAACTTGCAGAAACATGTTTCAAGTCACAAGGAAATCATGCAACATAAAAATAGAACAACATAAACCAAACCTTGACACATTACCTTATAATCTGGCACTTTGATGTAATCAGAGGAAACAAGTAGAATATTTTCAGGCTTCAAGTCAGTGTGAATCAGACGTAAATCATGCATAACTGCAAAGGTAACAAACCAATCAGCAAACTAAAAAAAATCATCCCTACTATCAACCAACTCCATAACAATCCAAACAATATTTACTTTGGGGTTCAAGAAAATAAGAAAAATGGAAAAAAGAAGTAAAAATATATGCCTATATTTTGCTTCCAATTAAGAACATCAGAGCATCAAGTTTAAATAAATATAGATAAAAATGGTACAAGAATTGTCCACACACATGCAACAGACTCCAAAAGTTGTCTGCCAAGCTCCCGGACAAGATCAATGGGAAATGAACGATAGCTGTTTTTGCGGAGAAAATCGTATAAGCTTGGTCCAAGCTTCTCAAATACCTGTTAAAACCATTTAAATTCATCCGCAAGTCCTTCAACTCACAGAATATTCAGGTAGACAGGAGCATTTATTGCTCCTTCAAATTAATCAAATCAGAAATACTGATAAATACTTACAATACAAATATGATTACGATAGTCAAACCAATTCCGTATTTGTACACAACTGCAAAGAATAAAACCACTTATACCAACATCACTTCAAACTTCTAGAATGAACAAGGGTAGAAAAGAAATTGCGAAGCCTTACCGTGTGCTACCAATATCATGTCTAGCCAGCCTCTGTAGGACATCAATTTCGATCATGGCAGCCTCACGGTACTTGTGTATGGAGCGGACAATTTTGATTGCCACTGCTTCTTTCTTTTCATTATCAAAACATTCCAAGACTTGCCCAAAAGTCCCTGCATGAAAGCAATCATAAGATTACAGTAAGAAAATGATAAAAATAACTATTCAATTACAGAACACAAATACAATGCAAATGCCTCTGACCAACATGCTTCACATGATTCAGATGAGCAAGCAATAAAACAAAATATCCTGAAACTGAAAGTGAATTCCACTTAATAAAGTACACAAAATTGAAAAGGCATATAATATGATGACATCAAAACCCAAAAACTACTAACCTTCCCCCATCTTGCTAAGAATCCTGTCTGCAAAATTGAAGAAAAATAGACAGTATCAGCAAATAAAATATGATCAGAATTAATAGATCTTGCAGTGAAAAACAAGAGTCAACATGCTTAATTCTTTTATCCACGCAATCAAGTCAAATTACATTAGATTAAACTCTCAAAATAACCAGTTAAACAGATGAGGTGCTTAGAAATGACACTTTTAAAGCCTCCTAACGGGGAAAAAAAAAACTCCATTTTTTTAAATAAAAAAAATACAGCTTGCCTAAAGAAATGAGGATCTTATGATCCAATTAAATCAAACCTCAAATAGCATCAATCACATTAATAAAGAAACCAAATACACACCTTCAGACCCCAATAAAAATCATGTTTTTAAGCAATTTGATTCAAAATAACATCACAGATATCGCAAATTTTAAGCTGGGGGCCACGGAAAATACTTACAGCGCGGAGTCAAATTCTCTCCAATAGCAAAAACATAATGTCCATCTTTATCATCAGGTCTCCAAGGAGGTGAACCATTCCGATTGTAAAATACATTTGGGAACCCATAATTTGGAATCACTCCATTCCCAAATTCCTGCCCACAAAACATCCCCGGAATCACCTGCAATAAAAAAATTAAACAATTAAAAGACAAAAAAAGAAGAAGCAAATTTCTGATCTCTTAGAAAGAAAAGCGGAAATCCTACCTTCGGAGGAGCTAAGAGAGGAGGAGGTATGTCCCATGTTAAACGTTGTCGTTTCCTAGGACGCTTATCCATGTTTTTATGTGGAAACTCTGTTATTCTCTGCGTCTCCATTTCTCTCTCAATTCTCTTGATTTAAATGACTAATCAATGAATCCATCACTCAATTTGAATCTGAATTACAAACAACTGGCACAAAACTTGTATATTTTGAAAAAGAAAATTTGGGGATTTTTTGATTTTTGAAACCCTAAAAAGCACAATTTTGAATAGGAGAGAGAGATCTGGGAAGCTAAACCTGAGGTAGGCTTGAATCTAACTAGGGTTACGTTAACACGGGTAAAGTTAACCCAATCGATGGCTAAGTTTCTAACTATGGTTCATCAGTGGGTCCCAGTCCCGGAGCGTTTTATCTTTCTTTAATTGTTTCACGGGACCACCCAGTGGTTTCACAGATGATTAGGGGACGCGTGTTAGTTTCTATATTGGGCCAGACTATACTAGGCCTACATGTTAATTGGGCCTGTTTCTTTTCCCTCACGTGCCAAGCACGTGTGTCTATTGCTTCTATTATTGTGCCTATCGCTTGGTACTAAAAACCCTAAGAGCAGTTTTGTGTGTGACCTCTCTGCTGCTCCGCAATGGCTCCTAAAGGTATGCTTATGGGCTGTCTTCATTTTCTCCAATGTATTTATTATATTCAATTGGCTCTCTTTTAGCTGTTTTAAGTTTTGATTTCTTTCAAGTTTCTTGTATTTGTTATGGACCTGATTTTGTAATTGTTGGGATTTTTTTTGGGTAGTTTTCGTAGGCTTGGGTGCTAACAATATGTTAGTGAAAGATCAAGTCATGGTCGTGGGAATAGCCGGGGCTATTTATTTGCTAGTAATTTTGATATATACATTAGAGAGGGTTTTGTAGCTTAAAATTGTTTGGCAGTGTGATTTAGGTGATGATTTTGTAATGATAGGGAAAAAAAGAAAAGAAATATTGATGTAGGAGCATGTGGAACTGAAATGGTATGCTTTCTTTCTTGGTCTTCTGTTACTTAGATGCGAAGAAGGCTGATGCGAAGACCCAAGCTCAGAAAGCTGCCAAGGCCTTGAAATCGGGTGCTGCAACTTTCAAGAAGTCCAAGAAGATACGAACTAAGGTCACATTTCATCGCCCCAGGACATTGAAGAAGGAAAGGAACCCCAAGTACCCTCGCATTAGTGCAACTCCAAGGAACAAGCTTGATCATTATCAGATCCTAAAGTATCCTCTCACAACGGAGTCAGCGATGAAGAAGATTGAGGACAACAACACTTTAGTTTTCATTGTTGACATTCGTGCTGATAAGAAGAAGATCAAGGATGCAGTGAAGAAGATGTATGATATTCAGACCAAGAAAGTGAATACCTTGATCAGGTAATGATGACCTTAATCTCCTTATTCTCTTAGTTTGTGAGCTAATTATTTGAAGCAATGTTAGTATAGAACGAGTTGACCTGTCTTTAGAGTGCCCTGATTACTTTCACAACCTGATACTGTTGGGTTTTCCTGGTGAGAGGCTATATGTTCCCAATTTGGTTATTCATAGCCTAATTTTTACAGGATCCTATTATATGCTCTCAATTTGGTCGTTTAAATGCATTGATAACATAAATAAAATCTAGCATTATTAATTTTTTAAAAGATGAAATGATGGACATATTAGTACATCTTGTTTGGATGTTCAGGTGAAAATCTTCACTGGTGTATATATAGTTAGCTATATCAAAGCAGTTGCCCATATTGCAAATTTGGCTTTTCTGTTTGTTATCATCATTTCCTTTTCTAGCAATGGCCAAAACTATCTGATTCCTTGAAGCTGTGTGCATCATACAGCCACTGCCGTACTTTACCTTTAAACCAAAAGCATGTTTAAATCATCACCAAATATTAGTGCAGATGTTAAGTTTTGATGGCAGTTTACACGGAATAGGTTTCTTCTTCTTATTTGTCATGTTGCTTGCATCTCTGAACTATATTTGCTCTGTTGTTTTGTTTCAGGCCAGATGGGACAAAGAAAGCTTACGTTAGGTTGACACCAGATTATGATGCTTTAGATGTGGCAAACAAGATCGGCATAATCTAAATTAGTTTCAGTTTCCGTTTCCATTTGTATGCCTTTTTTTGTTGAAGTTTCTCAAGTTTAAACTAAGAAGTTAGCATTTAAGAACCTTGAGCAGAGTTGGGTCAACAATTTCAGTTTGATATTCATAACAACGTATTGCATTTGATTAATTCTCTGGTTGATGTTTCAATGATGGCTTGCTGTGTCGGTTTTTACTGTTTAAGTTTGTGACCCATGTTATCAGATGGTCTAAGCATCTGTTCTTGATTTAAAAATGTGACATTTTACTCTAATCAATTAAGCATAGTTGGTTGATAATTTTGTGTTTCAAGTAGCACATGCTTGTCAGGTGGAAAAGAAAAGAGCTACCTTTGCTCGAAAAAGTTTCACTAGTTTTACCGAATGATCATACGCTAAAGGGTATCTAATGCATCAGGACTGGGTGTTTGTTGATTACAAGGGTGAATTGTTTGTATTTTTTTCTTCTTTTGGTTACAGACTAGTGCCGATTGGGTGAGGAGTGGTCATTCTTCTCGAAGTTGTCTGTGCGCTGCCGGAGCATGTGAGGAATTGTGAGGTTTCAGAACCATTTCTTGTTGACATGGTTTAAACATTTTGAGTAACCTCTGAGGCTATCTTTCGGTTGCTTTTCATTCTTCACGTTGGTTGAAACAACCGTGCCCATGAGTCTCACTCTCAGCCTATTTTTACAACAACCTCATTTTGATTGACCATAACCAACTAAGAAAGAGAGCTATAAGTGAGTTTTCTCACAAATCTGAACAATCATACAATTAGTTTCACTGTAAAGCTCAATAAATTTGATATTCTTTCTTTCTCACCAGAATCAACAATGAGAGCCATTTATTACTCTGGTAAAAAAAAAATCGGAAATTTCAATTTCACCGTCAAATTCCCAATATAGGAACCTCAAGACGCTATAAATATCATCCTTTTGGTGATGACTCATGTCCCAGTTGACAAAGACATGAACTTTTCTTCTTACTTCGATCCAACTGGAACCGGGAGTTGTTTTCAATCCCTTCTCCTTCATCTCTTGCCTAATTATTGACGCATCCTGCCATCTACCAGCAGCAGAGTGTGCATTCGACAGCATGACATATGATGATACATCTTCGGGATCTAAATCTAGGATATTTCGCGCTGCTATTTCACCCAGTTCCATATTTGAATGTATCTGGCAGCCCCCAAGCAATGCCTTCCAAAACCCAATTCCCGGCTTAAAAGGCAAGTCATCCAAAAACTCCCGAGCTTCTTTGAAACATCCACAGCGAGACAGTAAATCAACCATACAAGCATAATGTTTAGGTTTTAAAATGCTGGGGTTTTCGAGCCTTGCACGATCAAAATACGAATACCCCCTCTTGACAAGACCAGCATGATTACAAGCCCATAACAAGCCAAGTAGGGTAACACTATTGGGTCTAAGACTGGCGTTCCTCATTCTTTCGTAGAAGTTCACAGCATCCTCTCCTCTCCCATTCTGTGCAAAGCCACAAATCACTGCATTCCAAGAGACGATACTCCTTTCAGGAAGTTCATGGAAAAGACGGAGACTATCTTCCATGCTTCCGCATTTTGCATAAAAGCTAATTAGAGAATTGCCAACAAACACACTAAACTCACCCAACGTCTTAACAGCACAAGCATGAAAACTTTTGCCCATTTCAAGTGCTGCTATATTAGCAGCAGCAATAATAGCACAAGGAAATGTAGATTGACTAGGCACCAACCCTTCTCTAATCATCTCAACAAAAAGATTTACAGCCTCTTCATTCTGACCCATCTGGCTAAACCCACCAATCATCGCATTCCAAGACACAACATTTCTCTCTGGCATCTGTTTAAAAAGCTTGAAAGCCTTCTCAACCCCACCTTTCTTAAGGTACCCATGTATCAATGTAGTGTAAGAGACAACATTAGGATTTTGTATTTCTTCAAAAGCTCTTTGAGCTTCTTCAATAGAACCCAACTTGGCATAAAAATCTAAGACTGCACTGCCCACAAAGACTATAGAATTAAGGCCTATCTTCATGGCACAAGAATGAAATTGCCTCCCTAAGTTAAGGTCTCCTAGTGAAGTTGAGGAGTGAATAACAGTGCTAAATGTGAACTCATTGGGCGTAATATTCAAAAAAAGCATTCTAGAGAAGAGCTGTATCACTTCTTTGTATTGATGCCGCCTAGCAAACTGACCAATTATGATTGTTGCTGATACAACATCCAAGTCGGGTATTTTATCGAACACATCATGAGCATTGCGAAATGAATGAGAGGTTTCTGATTTAGGAGCATATTCGTGTGCAGAAGTGTGGTTAGATTTAAAAGTTATAGGGTGGATTTTTTTGGTTAAGGTTTGAAGTTGAGATAATCTGCAAAAACCATGTTTCATCTCAGAGACTTAGGACGGGTCCGTTTGTTTTTGCAAGACAGGTTTTTAATGGCTGACCGGGAAGAAGGAAAGACAGCATTAATAAATAGCAAATTCCAAAAATAAAAAAATAAATACTAAAAAATATGCTTAACCTAATTGTAACTTCCGTGCACACTTGAACAGAGATTGATCATCTCCTATTCTCCCGCAAACACTAGCTAATTCTAAGGGCTTAATGGTTTAATTATTTCTTTCCCGCTGCTTTTATTTATTTATTTTAAAATTGCCCCTGTACATGCATTTTTCTAATGCAATTTCCATACTCACTAATTTGTTAAAGAAGAGTTCCATACCGTATATATGTTAATCAATTTTGCAAAGGGTGTTAGATGAAAGGACCAAATCATAGCAAAACGATGAGCATGAGGACCGAAGGCACTATTAATTCCCTCTCTTCAAGCATACTCAACAAAATTAAAATACGCAGCTGAAGAAGAAAGTAAGGGTAAGCAAAGATTAAACTGTTCGATTTTTTGCTAACTGAATTAAGAAAAACCAAAACTGAAACTAAGCTAAAATAAGTTCGGTAAGTTAAGTTTGAAATTAAATTATTTCAATTCGATTTTGTAAAAGTTTGATTTTAATTAAAATATTTTTTAAAAAAATTGTAAATTCTAAATATGGGTTGAGATCATCTTTAGAGGTTTTCATTTTTAAGTATATAGGCTGAGCTAATAAAGGGTATGCTTCCTCATTGAATATCATAATTTAAATCTCAAATTAGGTGTAGAAAATAAAATTTTTATAAATTCATAATCTTGCTATAATATATTTGATTTTCGATGGAAATTGATTTTTTTTTCAAAAATTGAACCGAACCAAAATAATTTTTATTTTTTAGTTTGGTTTTTAATTTTACAAATTTAAGTTCAAAATCAAATCGAAATACATAATTTGATTCGGTTCGATTCGATTTTTTAATTAACCAGAATTATGCTCTCCCCTAGATGGAAGGATGATTTTATTATCAGAACTAAAGTTGAGAATCACATGTGAGAAGTACACGCAAGGGCCAATTCAAGAAAAAAATAAAGAACAGGGGAGCAAAATATACCATTAACCTAATATTAAATCCCCTTAATTTGGGTATGAATGAATGCTTTGGAGCATACAAAATAATTAATAATCATGATAACTTCCACATCTCCCTAGAGAATCATATCTGGTCTTTGTGCCCCACAAGATGCGCATGGGAAACATGCATGTATAACCATCCATTTATTTTGATTGGGCAATCCATCTCCGGTGGAAACATACAAAAATTTCTTGGTCGTTGGTCTAATTTAGTCGGATTAATTCTTGATCTCTGCTACTTCTCCGACGTTTTGATTAACACGTCCTTGTCACGAGTAAACTAGCTAGTAAAGGTAAAAGAACGTGGATTCGTACTTCGACATATGCTGGATTAGTGGATTCGTATGGGTCAAAGCTTAGTGAAGAATCTATGATTAGCTTTTTGAAAAATTTTAAATCAACGATTTCAATTAAAATTTTCAATCTCTTACTTTATTAAGTTGATCTCTTATTTAATTTGTTATGTTGATCAACTCTCTACTTATTGCTTTACACTTAGAGTACATATACATTAATGATCATAATAGAGTTTCTCCTATTTATATTAACATCATTTTAGAAATAATATGTTTTATATGATGCTAACAATTTAATTAATTTTCATGTTAGGAACTTTTATGTCCATCAATCAGGTCTATAGTATTGATAAATTATAGATATTGTTTTAAGTTTTGACAAAAAAAAAATAAAAAAATAAAGTAAAAAATTCATCATGTGAGAAATATTCCTATATTATTGCACATAAAATATTATTTTTATATTCATTTTGATGTATAAAGTTGGACCCCGATGACTTGTTCAAAATTTATTTATAAAGTTTGCTTGCTCATTAAGTACTTATTTTAAGAACATAATAAATTGTCATATATGAAAGGAAGTGCTTAGTTATAAAGAATGATCGCTATAATTCATATTTTGTATTCTTAATTTAAGTGTGAGTATTTCCACTAACTAGTCATTCTCCATTCTATATATATATATAAAAAAAATATCATTTTTGGATAATGTTATATGGGCCAAGTGGGGGAATGCAAGAAATGTTCTTATAGTTTGATCCATGTGTCATGTTTTGTTTTAAATATATAAGTAACAGTTTAAAGACTTAGAGCTCAATGGACTCTAGTGGTAGGCTAGACACATCCATGATGGATGAAGGTGCAAAATTATGTTAAAAAAAAGATCCTTAGTCTTACTATATAAATATTAAATAAAATTTGTTTTTTCCATCAACAAAAAAAAATTAAAGTTTTAACATAGATTAGAAAGCTCTTTTTCCTTGATAGCTATTGATTTTCTTCAATAATATTTAAATATTTAATCAATCACGACAGAGTCATGTATATTATTATCACCAATCTTGTAAGTCAAAATGTTTTAATTTATTCATATATATACCTATTGCCTTGATATATCAAAAAGTTAAAGGTGTACAATCCAACGAGATTACTACAAAATATTTATTCATACATATAGCAAACTCTTTTATGAATCTTTATATTTATATAAAAAAATTTCTATTTGTAGTATTGGAAACCCCTTTTTAATTCTTCATTTCTTTAATTTTTCTTCGTCTGTTTTCTTGCTTGCAAGCAAAAGAAAGAGTAAAACTTGAGCAAAATCTCTAACAGAGAAGCGGGCACGTATGTCATTGAATTTGAAAGCTCGATGTCATTAACCTTAAGCTGGAGGATCTGATATATAGTTTGATTAGGACAAGCGCATGCCAATTCTTTTTGACTTGTCATAAATATGGGGAAGTTCACATGATGCCATCGCTTATATGGCCAAAGCTTATTTCCAGAATGCTAGCTCCATTGCATGCGGACTTAAGGGTTTGTTGCTAAGAGGTTGAGCTGTTGGGCCCGATACATAGTTGTAGTTGTAATGGAGTGTTGGTTAGTACAGAATTAAATAGGTAAGATTAGATTTATTTAAAAGATTTAAAACTTGTGATGTACTATAACACTTCTTCTCATTTGAGATCTGTTAAGTAGTTTGAGCTCTAAAATTTTGTTAAATAATTAAAATTGAATTCTATTTAAAAGACTTAAGCCTTATGATAGATGATTTTTTTCTCAACTTTATATACTAATAATTTTTTATTTAATTATTTAATGTGAAATATTTACTTTAATAGTTAGAAACAAGATATGTATGGTTAAAATAGCTATTAATATAAAAGTTACTAACAATATGAAGAAAAGCTTAAAAAAATCTAAAAGCTCCAAAATAAAGCTCCTTTAAAAAAAAAAAAAAAGCGCTAACAAAGGCTGAAAGAGGAAAAAAGAAAAAAGTTAGCGAGAGAAAACAATTCATCTCGGCCCAATTAATTGGGAGCAAAATTCATATTATATAATGATTGTAAATGATTTTCATATTACTCTCCAATATATATTTTCATATTCTCTCGAAAAGAAATTCGGTTGAATTTGAAATTTATATGGATGATGACCGCTTGGTCAAATAAATTTTGATACTATATGAAAAAATTTACTAACCCAAAAGCTTTAACGAGTTAATTCAGATATTAGAAAACGGTTTTGTAACACACACACATATATATATACATGGATGTTTAATCTAAACCTTGTTTTAGCATGTGTAGAAGGGCCCTTAAGGCGACAATTATTATAAGGCTAATTTAATTGCATGTGATGTTAAATTAGGGTGATATATATATATATCACCCTAATTTAACATCACATGCAATTAAATTAGCCTTATAATAATTGTCGCCTTAAGGGCCCTTCTACACATGCTAAAACTATATATATGTATATATATACATATATATGTGTATATATATATATGTTAGCCTGATCAGGTTCTTTAATTTCTAAAAAACACAAACAATTAAGCACTGAGCACTTCTGAGTTCTAATTAGGAGACAAGCTTAATTATTATCATTGTATTCTTTCAAAATCTTTCTGCGGGGCTAATACAGTACTATATATCTATTCCTATGTATGTTAGAACTAAATTAAGGGAGTAGTTATACATTTTTGCTTAGACTGCCTGCTAGCTAGCGGCTTCTTTCAGGTATGCTCTCTAGCACTGGCTTCCAACCAGCTTTATGTTCACTATCACTGTCAGAGATATCAACCTTTTGCACTCTCTGTTGACTCTGAAGCTGAGAGACCATATCATCAACTGAAGCTCCGCCCTTTCTTAGCATCTCCTGCAGTTCTTGCTTACTGATCACCAACTTGATTCTCACCACACTGGTTTTTTCTTTAACATCTTTGGCCTCTTCCTCTGGAATGGAAAATCTTACTTTCTTCTTCTTAACTGGGGATGGCAGTTGAAGAGGCACGAGATGGTACAAGCGATCACCGCCAAGTAGGTTGCTGTCTGGTAAAAGATGCTGGAAAGCCTGAAGTGAATCAGCTATTGCATGGCCAGAAAAATCTGACAGAACTTGCTGGACTTTTATGGGTGCTTGGTATTCAAGGATCTTCCCATCTGGTTTCATCACCTTGATAACATTTTCTTGCAGAACCAGGCAATTCCCCATGGTTAATTATTTCTAGCTAGTGATTTCTTAATGAATCGAAAAAAATGGATGCTTAATACTTGGTAATGCTTTAGTTTCTTTGCATGAATGGTGCTGGGGTTATAGCTGGTGTTGTATATATAGAATATGGTTATAAATATGCCCTTATGATGTCCCAAATATTACCAAAAGCCCATCCATGTCTTTTCCTTTGGACCCCGCTGTGTTGATTTTTGCTGGTGTGTAAACATGGAGATGCGACATGACCTACTCATTGATGTCATCACCATTCACCACCCAAGTTGAAACTCAAAGCCGACTCATGTGCAGTGGTGCACGTGAATCAATTCTGATTGGTGTTAGTTGGAAAATAAAGCATGATTTAGTAGAGTAAAAATACAAGACAATAGTATACAAGGTAAATTAGCATAAAATAAAGGTACATATTAAGCATGATGATTAGCTTTAGCTTTATCTTGTTGGTAGTGTTTAAACTGTACAGCACAAACTTTCTACTGCTAGACAGCCATCTTTAGTTGCTCAGTGAGTGGGCTCAGATTTGTATACGGGACAATGAGCAAACACACGACCTCGTTCCTTGCATTTGGAGGGGAAGTGGGTTCTCACCAGATTCCAATTTTTTTTTTACAGTAGTGGAAGATCTGATAGGATCTAGTAGGACCGCGTAAGCTCTATATCTGTGGTGGTTGACCAATGGGACACCATGGATCGATCTGGTTATCTATTTGACCTCAATATTTGTGCAGCGTTGACTATCTCTCCCTACTTCCAACCGTAACATCAGCAACATGCATAATAATTTGGCAAATGGTGTTCATCGGTAGAAGGCACTACTACACTTCTGGTGTCACGGTGATTTGATGCAAAACTCTGTGCCTCTACTGAAGTGAATACATATATAATTAATGGGACTTATTTATTTTAACATACAAAGTAAAAGATTTATTAGGAAGAGACGATTAAGGATTTAGGAATAGAAGATAAACACCGTTATTTTCTAACCGAGACATGCCCTAATGAGGGGAAAAAAGAAGAAGTAATAATTTACTAATCTGCACCAGAAATTAACATGCAAATCAATGATGTTTGGGCAGTGGTCATATAGATACACATAAAGCTGTGAGTTACGCGTACGGATGAATTTCTTGTCAATTTGGGACATTATGTGAGCTTCTCAAGATTGTATAGTGTTATTGTTGCAGCAACAATAGTATGAAGCTTTAGCTGGTTTTTTACCAGTTAATTTCTGTAGCTTTAGTGTCCTTAATTATGGCTTTGCCTGTCCTGTACGTTACTTTGACTGTCCACCAGTTTGGTCCCAGCATCGTGGTCGATGGGAAGGCTGTCCAGCATGAACCATTAGCGGGGTTTAATTTCTAAACTATATTCTGAGTCAGTAATTAATTCTCTTCAAAAGGATGTGATAAATATGTATATATAATGGTAATACTGTACGGATCCGATACAATTTTAATGTAGTTAATCAGATTTGATAGATATTTTTAATGATATGAATATGTCGATCTGTTTAATTATTAAATAAATTAAATACAAATTTATCTCGATCAAATTTCATATTAAATTAATCCAAAATTAATATTAATATTATTTATAATAAATATAATATTTAAAAAATAAATAATATAAAAAAATTTAGCACTATGTTTAGATTTAGGATTTTTTTACTCGAAATTCTAAGAAACATTCTATGTTTCTGATTGTTTTTTTTTTCAACATTGATCGTTATTCTTTCAAATAATTATACGATAAGCTTTTTTCATCGTTTTTCAAATTTCAATTTAATTTTGTAAAAAAGTCCTATAAACTTATGAGAAATCAGTTAATTAGTTGTTACTATTATTATACTTGTGTTTTAAAATTTTAAAATCTTGACCTAATTTGAATTTTTATCTTTTTCAAATTTGTTACATGGAAAATACTAGAATTTTATCTTATATCAATCAAATTATGTCTAGATTAGGTAAAATATATATTGCCTAATTTAAATTAAATTTGACCTTTAATATAAATTTTTATTGGAATTATTTTATTTTTTTCTTTTAATGATAAGACATTTGGATTTTTTTTTAAATTGATATTTTAAATATTATCACAACACATATATATATTTTTTATTGATGCAATAGTTGAAACTTCATTTTGAATATAGCTATTTTTTTTTAAAAAAAAATTAAATGATAAATAAGATCTGAACTGATTAGTATCTAAATTGACAATTGCAAAAATCAGATTTGAATTCATAATATTTGATTCATTTATTAAACAAATCAGATTGAGATTATCATCCGATCAATATATATATATAGTATGAGAGCACTAATTAGGCATCTAAAAGAAAGATGTTTAGAAGTATATTGGTGCTAAACATCCTTCTGTTTATTTCAGATGAGTATCTAGTTCTCTCATTAATCAAGAAGGATGTTTATATTGCTGCTAAATTAACATCCTTCTGCTAAACATCCGTCTTCTAGATGAGTAATTAGTGCTCTCATTGATTAAGAAGTATATTGCTGCTAAACATCCTTCTTCTAGATAGAGTAATTAGTGCTCTCATTATCTATAAAGTGACCAAGAAATGATCGAGACCTAATTTAGATGGGGTATGATTCGTGGAGATCGAGAAGTAGTTTGGAGGAAAGAGTTGCTTAGTGCTGGGCGATGTTTTCCACACGCATGCGAGTTTCTGGGCATTCTTTTACTAGGGTAGGTAGAAAATGAGCATTCCTTTTAGGAATTTTAAGGAGATGAAGCAATAGTATAACAAACAAGAGAAAAAGACAACCGGCTATAGTGTCTCCTTATCAATTGGTGGGGTCTTGTGGGTCCCCCCTTGGTCCCTCTCCCTAATCATAAGAATTACATTAAGGATGTGTTTGGTATGTTGTAATTTATTTTAGTCTATATTTTTTACTTTCATGACTTTTTTGTCCTTAATCCGATTCTCTAATTTTTTGATGTATGCAATTTAGTTCCAGTATTAGAAATTCTCTTTCAATTAAGCCCCCACACGAAATAATTTATTTTAATAAAATATAAGTAAAATTGGTCACATTTTAGTCAACTAAATTAAAATATAAATGAGTGATAAATAGATAATAGATAAGATGAAAAAATTGAAAAATAATGCCAAAGTAAGAACCACTCAAATTATTTTCAGTGGTGCATCCACTCAAATTATGCTAAAGACTTGTCATGTTCTATTCAATGTAGGTAATAAATATTGTACAATTTATTTGTTTTGTCAATTCATTTCTGTCTAACATACGGAACACATTCAAAAACTTTGAATGAATACACATGATTGACGCTCCTTTTATCTCTGAAATTATTTGTCACGGAGAAAAATAAATTGAAGGACCAATTACAACCTGAATAATCAAAAGGAAACACAAATGTGATTGGATGCATGAAAGTACTAAAGAAAGGGATTATAGGAACTAAGGAAAAGTCTTTCGCATAATTTGAGAATTTTGCATGTAATCAAGATGATATAAAAGTATTTGCGGATGCTATAAGTAGATATGAAATTCTATCGCATCATACTAGACAATCAAAATGAAGACGATTCTTGAATAGCTAGGCTTTTTTATGTCGAAAGCCCTAAAACTAGCTATCTTCTTATGACAGACAGCTAAGGCAAGCCATTCCAACTATATATGTCAATAGGAAATAAATCTCAGCAGGCACTAAGGGGGAAGCTTAATTAGATGGTGGCCGGCAATGTTATATGTAACGAAATATCATAAAAAGAAAAAGAAAACACAAGGCAAAGCAAAAAGTTGGTGAATCCTCATGGCATATATACACGCATGTCATTGTCATGATTCGTGAAGGCAAACAATCACAGGTTGGACGTCGCTTGGATATACGCCTTTAATTGTATATAGCACTATTTTGATGGAACATATTTTGGCTATGAAACCCAAAAAGAGATATATGGATCTTGTCCCTTGCATAGTATTTGGAGATATTCTACCCAAAAGAAGGACAAACTTTAAAATTATTATTAGTATTTCCTTAATTTCTACAATTCTTAATTGGGAAACGCGACTCGAACAATGAATATGTTTTCATTCGGATTGTATATATACAATTCCACAATTTGGAATTGCGACTACATAGACGACACGTTCATAGGGACTTTTCTTACACTTCTATCTCTTTTCTTCTTTTTAGAAGGAGGGCATTGCCTAAAGGAAAGGAATATAAAGGACTCATCCTTGGGATGGTAACTTCACAGATATCATTTAAAATAAGATCAAACATTTTATTAATAGAGGCTCTGAAAATTAAATAAAAAACACCAATTCCTATAGAAAAACCGTGATTAGCTAATCAATCTGCACAACTGTTGGTTTCTTTGTAGATACGATGAAACTGGACTTGTCAGGAATGCTTCAATATCAGGTCAATTGAGATTCAAATTGAGCTCTCTTTTCACTAGATAACTACCGCTTAAATTTTTTAATTAATATGTTGATTTTTTACATGAATTTTTGCTTTAAATTTATCTGAAGCAACAACAAAGGCATCAAAATATATATTGCACCAATAAATATAAGGACTAAACCCTAGTACTTCTCTTCTGATTTTGATTGTATTCTTTTTGTTATTTATTTATTTATTGTGAGAACTATTATGTTGTGATTACGTCAGCTTGAAGAACGCGTCTCTCTTAAATAAAGTTTTCAGATAACAACGAAGAAAAATCTGGCCTAACAAACATATAGTACCATATCATATACTAAATCAATGCTTGAGGACCTTTTATTATTATTATTATTCATCATGGGTGTCATTGTCATGCATTAAAAAAACAACAAAAAAAGTCATGCACAGCACTTTAGGTCTATGCTTTATGCACTGTTTCATTGAAGTTGGCTCACTCCATTTGAACAGTTCTGCATTGAGAGGATCCTTGTCACAAGTGGAATTTTAGGAGTAGAAAAAAGGAATACTATTGCATACTTATGTTGTGCGTTCTGTCGCCTTCATGGATCTGAATTAGAATTAAGTCCCTTTCTCAAACACGCATAATCTTTTCTAATCAAAGAATACTGAAATTCACACAGAATTTGTCCTCTTTCAAGAACCCAAAATGGAAAAGCAGAAACACATTCCTTTCTCATTCCGATCCATTGTGATCTTCTTTCATGAAAAAGTGGTTTGGTTTTTTCTCCAACATTCTCCTTCTTTTTCGTTGCTTTTTGTGCCTTGTGGATTTGGTCAAGGAGGGGAGAGTTGCCATGGTCGGCTGACATGGCACGCGAGATCACGACATTTGGCCCTCAATGGTTGGCCGGCACCGCCAATCAGAATTTTCGTAATTGGCTAAAGACTTGGGAGATAAGTACGTCGATTGTCTACGTTGCTCCATTGAAAGAATGCCACCTGTAAATAGCAATCATATAAGTAGCCTTATAACGAGCTAACATTGGTATAATGATGTCGGTTGACTGAGCTTATGATGCAGCAGCAAAGTAATAAAGCATAAGCTTATCGTGCACAATGTTATCCTACATTTGTAATGATTTCTTTCCATCAAATATAGGGGTTGGCTCTTGTGCATCGTATATTTGATGAGTAATTAATAATATATATATTAGTTATTTCTTGAATAATTTAAAATAAAAAAATAAACATAAAAAAAATAATAATAATAAATAAATATGAAAATTTTTTTATTATTTTTTATGGATCCGAATATAATTTTATATGTCTATCTCTCTTTTTTAAATAAATTTATAAAATAATTATTATATATATTATTAATTACTTTTTAAATATTATAAAATTTTGATATTAAACGCTCATGCATTACCTCATTCTGGGTAGCCACGTGGGTCGGTTTGCTCAAATACGTGCTTCCATGATGTGGGTGTGGACCGCGTGGCCTAACTCAAGCAAAGGTTCATAAGTACTTCTACCACTCACTAGAATTACTTGGTTTAGATATGCCATCATGGCCCAAATCCAAAGCCCAACTTATATTTTAACTCAACTTTTGAGGAAATTGAAAACATTGACGGACTGGGTTGGTAGTGTTAGAAAACCGAACCATACGAGCTCTTCTGGCCGAGAGATATAAGAAGGACTCAATAAAGTAAAGGGCCTTAAGCCCCCTGGCCGAATTGTAAATGACTGGCTATCTATAGTTAAAAAGTGGAAACAAAACTGCGATTGATACTTTATATTGAACTTAATATAGTTAGCACAAACAATGAAAAAATAGTTCCGAGATCCAATCCTCGATTGGTTTTCTTTTCTCTTGGCCTCTTAAAGGAGAAATTATTATACGAATTTATTCTATTAGTAAAATTATGAATCAAACCAAATAGAATTAATACTGATAATTAAATTTAAACAAATTATCTATTTAGTAAATCATATTTAAAATGTAAATCTTTTCATGGCACAATCATAATTATAGAATTAAATAATTAATAATACATCAAATGATGTGAATTTTTTTTAGCAATCTTCTTTTCTAAGTTGTCATTGAGATTTGGGCATTTTTGCCAGAATCCAGCTATGTATCGGAAGACAGCCAAACTCTAATTTTTGCCAGAATCCAGCTAGTAAAAAAGAGTGGTTAATAGAAGGAATGGAGGGACATAACTGAATTACCTGTCACATTCTGCAAGTACTAAAAAAGCAAGTATCCAAGTACTCGACAGCTAATTGACTAAGACAGACAAATACCGGTCAGTGCCAGAAACAACAAATACCCCACCGTCTTATTTTTGCTAAAATCCCACCACTCCTTCTCTTCACCAAAACCCTTCGAGTGAAAGCCATGGCTGGAGTCCTCAACGTCTCTAAATTTCCTTCCCTCTGTTCAGTTCCTGGCAACCGTAGAACAGCCAAGAAGGGATTTCCTATCATTAGAGCTGCCTCAGAGACCCCTACTTCTTCTACTTCTTTTACTGCACCACCCAATTTTAAGCCACCAGAACCAAAGCGGTTTGCAGTCAGACCTGACAAGACTTGGGATATTGTTGGAGCTTCTCTTGCCTTGATTTTCCGGTTGGGTACTGGTGTTTTTGTTAATGGGTATGCCAAACTAAACTGAACTAAACAATTCTCTTATTTACTTTGGTCATGGTCATTGTTTTTATTTATTTATTTACTTAACATTGATCTTTATTAGATTGACAGGATTAAATAGAATCTTGTAGCTAGATGATTGTTGATATCGATTTTGCGGTAGAGTTTACGGTGGATTTAAAGATTTTAATGTACTAAAACACAATTGTATAATAATTAAGTGAGATTCATTATAAAGATTAAAATTTGCACTGTATTTCATATGGAATTTTAATTAATTTTTGTGCAATGGAGCACAAAATATGTTTTGGCGAGTTAATTGAGCTCTTCAAACTATCTGGGGACCAAATGACCCTTTAGGTTCTCAATTTCTCTAGATAGGTTTTGGAGGCTCTTTATAATATATATATAGTATATATAACAAGAGGTTTTGGAGGGTCTAGCAGTCTTCGGATTGATGATGGGAATCATAATGATAATTATTGAAAGGCGTTTGTCTTCCGTCCTTGCAATCGATTGGGGAATTCAAACCCGGTGTCACCACTTGAAGAAGTGAATCGCAAAGATGAGGCGGCTATGTATGGACTCTAAATTATCAAGGAGTAAAGCTAAGTGGACTTGCTGGGAGGAGGGGACAAGTTGTGTTGTTGGTGAAGTGACTTGGTATACCTACAGCTTTGCTCCTCCTTAAAAATTCTCATATTATTCTCTGGTCAGACAAGGTATTGCATTGAGCTAATTAAAGGGGCAATGACACTGAAAGGGAACAAGGGATACGAGGGAAAAAATTGGGAATTTGTCACCTGACACAGTGAATTGATTCTGGGCTTGGACATATAGAGACACGGATCTAATGTAAGATTGATTTTGAGGTTCATTATTTGTGCTTCTGATTAGACAGAGTCCTGTACCATTCATTGCTTTGATAATAAAGCTGTCAAAGAAACCACTGAACCTAAAAGCTTAAGCTGCTAGGTCCTCATAATGGATGATTATATTTCCTTACAAAAGCCTTAAACTTCAGGTTTAATCTTTTAGACTTCTCCTCCTCTTGACGTTTCTTTGTACCATCTTCCAAAGCCTGCATAGAGATGCATCCCTACCTTCGTTTAGCAGTATGTAAGTTACTTTTTGTATGTTAATATCAAATTAAATGTAAAAAAAAAATTAAAAATTAAAAACAAAAAGACTGAGAAATGGGAGACTATCAAAACCAGCAATCTTAATCTGTAGTGATGTTATTATTAGACAAAATGTGGAAACTTTTATGTCTTATATCATGTAGTTGGATCTTCTGGTGGCCACTTGGATTATTCCTGAATTACTATATCTTCTTTGTACTGTGGCAGGTATTCTGTATCTTTTGTTTCCAAGGATGAGATTCCAACTGACCAATATTCTATGGAAGTGGCTGGTGGGTGTCAAAATTTTCAAATTATAGTCGGTTCATACTCTATGAAGTTGTTTTAGTGTACTTGTGTTAAATGGCTGGTGGAAGTTTCTACACCAGTTAAAAGATCAGGATAAATGTGGATGGTCTATTTGAAATCCTAAGTTGATGTAAATGCATGTTGGGCATTCCTGTTCAAACCACTATGTTAACATTTCATTTTTGGTGATAAACGTCATTATGATATTTGTCTTTTATAGGCTATAAAGTGAAAGAGACCTCAAGGCTAGGCCCTCGACCAGAAAAGCCTATTGAGATCTATGAGTTTGAAGGGTACATTACTTTCCAAATTACTTTTATTTCTCTCTGCATAATATAATTGGTAGAAGGAATCTAGGTGGTGAGTTTCCTTGTAGTCTTTTCTCTTCTTCTTCGTTCTACTTATGACTCTTTCACATGCAATTATGATGAATAAACACTAAATGGTTGTACCCTTTTTTTCTCCAAATATGGATTCTGACGCCCTACCTGCAAACTTCAGCTGCCCATTCTGCCGGAAGGTAATGTTTTTGAAAATACTGTGTTATAAGTTATACCTGAAATTTGATATTGGATGTGTTTAATTTGGTCTGTCCCAGCTCCCAGGTCTTTATGGATGATGAACTGTGGTCTATATATGTTGCTAGCTAATTGCTCTCATTAGTGGCTTGTCTCTGGAATTACATCCTATGGTTTCTTCAAGATGTTAGTTGACAGTTGTTTAAACATGCGCAGGTTAGAGAAATTGTCGCAGTGTTGGACCTTGATGTTCTGTTTTATCCTTGCCCAAAAAATGGTCCCACTTTTCGTCCCAAGGTCGCTCAAATGGGCGGAAAACAACAATTCCCTTACATGGTTTGTCATTTTTCTTTTTATTATTGCTCCCCTGTTACTCTCACGTAAATAATGACCAGATAGCTTTAGCAGAATTGTAACTTGACATAACTGTTTAGAAGAACAACCAGAGGTTGTAGGTGGAGTGGTAAGAGGATGTGCTTTTGATTCATCAAGTCAGGGGTTCGATTCTCACCCTTGAAAAGCTCCTCCCTCTCCTTTGTGTGGCAATAGACATGGCCTGCTAGCGGGCTCAAAGACTCCGGTCCCTATATCAACTCAAGGCTATGCATAATCTAGTGTTGGCCTAGCCCAGGAAGTGGTGGATTTGGTCTTGGTTGATGCAAAAGCTAGCCTGAGGATACCTCACTAACTGTAAAATATATATATAACTATTTGGAAGAACCAGTTTTTTACAAATTAAATAGTAAAACCACATAAAAAATTGGTGTCCAGTTCCCTACCATCTCATTCAACAATCTGAAGCGTGTTAATATGGTAACAAAGGTATCACTTGTTTCTTCAGTCAATTATCTTTCAGAGAATGAGAGACTAATGGTCATCAATTGGTCTGAGTGCGAACCATAAACTCTATATTATGATTCTAGCTATTAGAAAGGTGATGACTTGATAGATACATTATATATCTGGGTCATCAACTTTCCCTATATTGCCCATGCAAAGGGAAGCTCTTTAGCATTTAGTTTTAGCTCAGGTTAGTTGTCCATTTTCATTGTGAATCTTAGAGATAATTTATAAATCATATTGGTCCTTCTTTTTTTCCCCCTCAAACAAGATAGATTGAGGGAACTTGAAAGGAAGCCACCAGTATTTTTGCAGCCAAAAAATTCCAAAAATGGCCATCAATGGTGTACATGCCACTGAAGGACTGAAACCAGGTACTCGTAAACAAATCCAGTTTGTGTAATATGTTCAAGAGTAGAGGAATGGGCATGTTGGGAGTGCGGAAGGGGAAGAACTCCAGTGTGGTTCTTTGTATACTAGTTCAGGCAGCAAAGTTGGTTAAAAGTAGAGGCTATTTGACATGTCCGGGCTTCAGAATTCAATGCCCCATTCACATTCTTCCTTGAATTAGGTCCTCTCAAGTTCTCATTTCGTGATGAAATCATGTCTCTTGCAATTTCATTTTCCTATTTCACTCTGACAGAAGTTCAGATCACGTCTCTTGCAATTTCAATTTCCTATTTCACTCTTACCGAAGTTCATATCGGATTTTCCTTCTGCCCTTAGCCTTAATGGCTTTAATGTAAGTCATACCTTTAGGAAGTGGCTTTAAGTGGGAGCCAAGGCTCAAAATTTTACTTCTGATTGCAGGTAGATCCAAATACAGGAACTGCAATGTATGAATCGGATGACATAATCAAGTATCTGGTTCAGAAATATGGTGTGTTTTTCTACATTAATTTACTTTCATAGGCTGCTTTCATTTCTTTCCTGCATATCTCATCACTAAACCAGGCTATCTGAAGGAATATGAGGACACCAATTACATGATAAGTCTGCTCATTTTTTCGTGTTTTTCACTTCACATCTTACTAATAGACAGCTTATATTTATTCTCTTTTAAATTTTGGTAACTGTGATTCCATATCTATCCTGGTCAAAACAAGCCTAATTGGGATGGCTTGTTAGGTACTCTTACATTTCATCTTTACTTTTTCTCAATTTTAGATGACTAAATGTGAGGTTTAAAATTTTAATTGACAGTTTTTTTTTTTTTTTTTTTCTTAATGGATTATATCTGCACTCTGCAACCATCTTATATATTCACCCTGTTTGATTTCTATCGTTTAGGTGATGGAAGTATTCCTTTCATGTTGTCACTGGGTCTTTTAACGGTTAGCAATTTGCTTATCTATTGCACTCTCTAGTCAATTTGTGGAATGTAAATTTCAAATATATTGCTTGATGACTTCTGTTCTTGCAGACTTTGACTGAAGGCTTTGCCATGATTGGTCGTATGGGAAAGGTAAATGTTTTTAATTTTAGTTTGTAAATAGTTCCCATGATTATTTGATGAAGATCTTCTTTCTTCCTGTGTAATATTTATTTGTAAAATGTTCTACGTAATTGTAAATTTGTGTTTTATGCTGCATTCATTTCCATGTTAGATCATCAGATTTTGCTGTTTTCTACCAGTAATGTAACGGTGCAGGTTTGTCTTTAATGATCATTTGGGTTTATGCAGGGGTCATCTTATACTCCATCTAAACTGCCACCCAAACCACTTGAACTATGGGCATATGAGGTTTGTAGAGTGCCAAATCAATTTTGATACTTGAAGTTACATGATACAGTGTTCATTGTTTCCTGATTTTGAAAAATAAGTTTTAGATGTGTGCTTTCTTTTTCAGGGTTCCCCGTTCTGCAAAATTGTTCGAGAAGCACTAGTAGAATTAGAATTACCACATATTATTCGAAGGTAAAGTCCTTAGTTGGTCTTTCTTTCCATGGATGCATTGCTATAAGTTCTTTCTGCTTAAATGTAAAACGACACCTATTCTGTGAGGTTTTTTTTCTCCTCTGTTTTAATAATTTTGCTTGGGATAAAGATTAGAAACAAATGTTTTCAAATACACCTATACCGTTTCTTTTCAGTCGAATCAGTTCTATTAATGAAATATTTTTAAAAAAATATTGCCATCCTTTTGGTTGGTGTGTCATAGAAGAACATATAGGACGTGACATGCAGAAATATTGTAAGGAAATAGAAAGCGAGCAAAGATCTTCATGCTCTCATATACAGAAAGAAATTTGTCTTCTAAAAGATCGTTTAATAATTTTTGTGCTCTTTCTAACAAACAGTATGACCTCCATTAATTACACCATTATTGGCATACTTTAGACATGTTAATCATGAGGCACTGTTCCTTTCTGTCAATAGAAAGCGTTTCACCTGTTGTATCAGTTTTGCTTATTGAGTTGCATCCATCAATTGATTCAAGTTCCTGTCTTAAAATGTATGTGTACTACAGACACACGTCTGATAGTCTTCCATTGTTTTCTATTAATAGTTGTGCTCGAGGCAGTCCAAAACGACAGATTCTATACGAGAAGGCTGGGCATTTTCAGGTACTTTATATTTATTTGTCAGTGCATGATCCTATGTAACACACAGATATGCACCCCATAATCAGCATCTATCTATTGAGAGTTTGATATCAACTTTACAACAATGGTTTCCAGGCGCCTTACATTGAAGATCCAAATACTGGGGTACAGATGTTTGAAAGCGCAGAAATTGTGGAATATCTAAAAGTAACATATGCAAGTTCATAAGCAAAGCTTACTATGCATAGGTAGGCATGCATTTGAGGTTTTTATAGTATAATTGTCGTGTATGTATACATCTCGATGTGTGTGCATAGCTTTTTTCTTTCTAGGTAGCCAAAATAATTCCACAAATGTATTCCATTCACTAATTTTTCTTTTACATAAAATGGAGTGCATTACTGTGGTTTTGACTGGGTTAAGTGCACCAGACAAAGCGGGTTAGGCTATGGTTGACAAAAGTTTCTCTTTTATTAATCTGCACGTAGGATGAACTTCTGCTGGATGCTACTTTCTTCTTCATCTAATATATTGAATACAAATTTCGCAATTGCAGCATTTTAGATATGAAAAGGCTGCTTCAAAAGTGGCCTCCAAGTCTGTCTCGAACCTCTTTTCCTTTCAATATTAACTGTTTTGTAAAATTGTGACGTTCCATTCCAAAAGAATTACTCCCTCAGTATTACAAACAAGAGGTAATGTGTTGTTGAGGGCTCTGAACTAACTATTTGGGCTTGGTGTGGGACCTTTAATCTGGCTACAACTAATTCATTTAGCTGATACAATAGCAGAGGAAGGGCAAATTCCCTGTTTATTGTAGACTAAAGGATGGAACAGAGCTCGTGTGAAGGCATTCTGGTTTCTGGATATGGCCCTGGTACTTCTCTTCTTCTTCTTCTTTTGAATGGTGCAAACAATGTGTAGGAAACCCAAACCGTTTGGAGTTTGATCCTTTATTGAATTTGAGCTGACTATAGAGGGAAATGAAGGAAATGCTATTTAATCAATTATTTATATCATAAAATATAATTTAAAGAATCAATAATTGAATAAATACAAGAATCAACAACAAAAGAGCGTTCAAGCAAACCATGTTTGAAGAGTGTTTAATTTTAATCAATGAGTCCATAACTATTGATTAAAAAAACCCATTATTCTATATTATATAGTTAATTATTATTATTATTATTATTCTGCACCAATGTAAGTGTGTAACTCTGAAAATTAATTTTGATTTAATACATATTAAAGAATCATGATCAATTTTGAGGTGAGACATAATCAATAAAAAATTAATATAAACTAAGATATGATAAATTATTAGCTATCAAATCCTTATTATTTAGAATATTTCTTCTTTTGTAAGTTAATTTAAGGTCGGTACTTAATTTTTTTTATAGAAAAACATTAGCGTTATGTCAACTCTGTTTGAGTGTTCGTGTCTTTCAATTTTTGAAAACTATGCATTTTAGATTGATTAATTATCAATCACCAAATATCTATTATTTTTTTTAAAATACATTATTAAGGTTGCATGAAGAATAATTATTTTTAAAACAATGACCTATTTTTATCCTAATTTTGAAAAAAAAAGTCAAAATCATGAAAAATAATCAATAATTTTTTTATTTTATTTTGCAAAGTGGTATAAAAAAATTTAAAAAACCATTAATTATTTAGAGAAAAATTGATATAAAGGAAATAATAAATAATGAAAAAAAGATAAAATAAAATAAAATAAAATAAAGAAAGTTGGCTTGGGCCCGTGCTCAAGGGTGAAGGCAACCAAGTCCGAGAGCCTCGACCAAACGCATGCAGCCCAAGAGTTTTATATATATAACCACTAGAATTGTTATTCTTACTATTTTTTCCTATGCAATTACTGGAAAAGTCAATGGATATGATAATAGTAGAAGTGCAAGTATGAGTAAGCAACGATATGAAAGAAAAAAAGAAAAAAAAAAGGAATGGCTTGGTTTACTTCGTGGAAACCTATATCTCCTTAGCACAACAAAATGCCCAAGTCAACTTTACTCTATTAATTTCTCTTTAGAACTTACAAATAAATAGAGCAAACCTCAATAACTCATCCTTAATACTCAGTACTACTTAATAATAAAATTTTCTACTAATCTTAACAACTACTAAAAACGACTGGAACAATTCAACAACTATTTTATAACTTATTCAAAGCTCCTAGTTTATTGTAGATCCTACAGAAAACAAAAGAACTGGTCACACATAACCAGAATTTAGTCCTTCTCTTTGAGTTTCTTAATTTATAATAATTTTAGATTACATGTAATATTAAAATGTTCAATTCTAGTAAAAAAATCTGGTTCAACCTTTATATTTTAGCAGAATTCCACCCTCCCCCCGGCACGCCTGCATTTTGCACTTTATTATTACAAGTAGACGCAATAACTTATATGTTGTCCGTACAATATTGCTCTTATCATAACTTTATCACATTCAGATAGTCCATGTCTCTCCAACTGATTGACTGTGGTAGGACCATAAACAGTTTAATTTTTAGTTTAAGTTTAATAGTTATGGACTAACTGGTTACCTGTGTTATGTCGTGGATCAAACAAATCATGTTAAATAATTTTTTAAAAAAATCATTTTAAGTTGATGGTTTTCATCGTATTGCGAATCCAACAAATATATACAAATCAAGTACAATTTTATGATTTTTTAATCAAAATTTTGTGCTTTAATTCTTTCTTACATTCTTTTAAATATATTTCCTTCTTAAAAAAAAACTTTTTATTTTCTTAATGCATGATTTTTAAGTGAAAATTTGTAATAATCTAAAGAGTAATTAAGTTTCAATTAATCGCAAATTGAAAAAGAAACATGTACAAATTTAATTTTTTCCCGCAAAATTGCATCGAAAAAAATAAAACAACAATTAATGTAAAAAAAATATTGTATAAAAATTAAAAATTACATTTTATCCTTATTGAATATTTATGAGAAGATTAATTTTTGAAAATGTATGCATTAGGTATTAATTTTTGAAAATATGTGCATTATGTGTGTGTCCATATATATATATATATATATATTGTCAAAATAATTAATAATATCAACATAAAAAATTCTATTCGAAAAGTATGGTGCCATTGCATTTTTTCTTTTAAACATAATTTTAAAATATCTACTTTTAAATAGTAAATGTTCGGTGCCTTGTATGCATATGCTTAGTTAATTTCTAATAAAACCTCTTATAAAATCGATTTCAATAAATTTTGATTATATAAAGAAGAAGTAAATAAAATGCGTAGATTTTTTTCCTTCTTCTTAACAAATATTTTTATTCTTGACAATATATGTTTGGTTCTCGTATGCATGCCTCACATTTATAACAATCATTTTCTCTCTTTTTTTTTCACTTCTTACTTTTAATTATCAATTAATTATTTTAAAATTATTTTTTTTCAAAAATTCAAGAAAATAAATTCTACAATACACTTCTAGCCTCTAGTTCAAACATAAATCTTTAGAATAATGATAATCTCATTTAAAAATTATAGGAATACATTTTACAAACTATATTTTTTTTTATTTTTTAATAAAAAAATCATGTTCATAAAAATTGATTCTAAAATCCAGACATAATGAAAAATAAATTATATTTTTCAATAAATAAATTTTAATAAAAAAAGGAAAAGAAAAATTAATTGGATGAAAATTTTCATAAATAATGACATATTAAAAAGCTAAATTTTAAATAATAAAAGTAATATAATTTTAAATATATGTTTATTTTAAAATATAAAAATACATAATGATATAATTTCTTCCTCTCTGGCGGAAGAAAACTCAAAAAATAATTATGAGTTTATAATTAAAGAAAATGACAAAAAAAAAAAAAAAAAGGTTGGGCCAGTGCTTGCTCCTTTGAGTTTGGAGAACCAGGCCAACACGCGCATTAACTGGACACGGGCGGACCATTTTTTGTTTAAAAAAAAAAGTGAAATAGCAGACGATGTGTTGCCTGCGCAATGCGCAAGAGATGATGCATTGGCCGACTACAACTTCTGATGAAGCTATGATTACTGAAAATCTAGTCGAAAAATTAGAGCACCACTTTTCCATCGTTCAAAACCGATTTCACCACTATTTTTACTCGAAAACACTTTAGATCACTGAAATTAGGTAAAAAAAACTTATTTAAAATCTTAAAACTCTAAAACACCTAAAAAAGTCAAAAATTCAAATCAATTCAAAAACTTAAAAATATTTTGAGATTTTGATCTTCTTTCTCTAACCATTTTATGTCTTACGATCGTCACAAATAATTTTTTTCTCTTTAATATGAATAAATCAAAGCCAAGATCAATGGTTAAAATGGTAAGAATAAATATTTTCGTAGGTTTTTTTATTCTTTTCTTCTCTCTTTTTGTTTCTATCTACATTTAGAGACAAAATTACATATAAATGAAATTAGAAATCGAAACAAATATTTAGAGAAAAAAATTGAGAATCAAAGTGTAATATTATCAATACTTGCATATCAAATACCTAAACATAGATGCATTTTTACAAAAATATCATATCAAATGTTTAAATAAAATCTAAAAATTACAATAATACTATTTAATACAATAATATTAAATAAATAATGCTTGTGAGAGTATATGTAAATGAATAGTGAAATGAGTATGAATCAATAGTAAGTGAGCAATCATCCAAATGTTTTAGGTTAGGTTTTCTTATAATTTCGTTTATAAGCTTGTGCATGCTAAGACTATGTCAATTCACTGTTTCTTGGTTCGGTCAAAGGTACATCATCCATGATGGGAGTAGATAACTCATGAAAAAATATGTTTTAGGCTAATTTGTCTAAGATTTGAACCTTGCTTGACTTGGTGGGAGTACATCCCCACTTGCCAACTTACCCAACCCGCAAAGTTTATAGTTACGGATTTGATTGATAGACCGGTACCCTTTAGGAGATGAGATGGCTTGGCAAAACCTAGGCCATGTTTAGGAGGAAGGACGCTGACTATACCCAAAAAAAAAAAAAAAAAATAGTGGTTTTGAAGGTTATTCCATCTACGAAAAGTTAGATACTAGAACTTGTAGTGCTTGGACTGTTGCGTATGGTCCTCTAATGGTGGCGAAAGTATATTCAAGTTGACCTCTGTCTTTTAATTGCAAATTCTTTGAATTTTTGAAGTTCAGAAGAAAAGAGTTGTCATCAGGTTGCTTCTACACCGGCCATATGTATGGCAGTCAGAGTTTCAAACTTTAAGTGATGTGCACTCTACCACCTTTTCTAATCCTGATAACTAAGAGCTTTAAATAGTGCATCGTGATATGCTGGGATAAGGTATCTGATCCTAGCAATTTTGGATATAATTTACCTATCTCAGCCATGCTTTTGTGTCCATTTTAGCATCCTGTCTTCTTTCTCTCTGCTTTTGTATGTCGAGTTTCAATCTTGCACATCCCACGTTGGACGTGAGCCGGAACTACATATTCACAGTAACATGTCATTGTTTCTTGTCCTATTAGGACTCGACTCTTTCTGATTCACCATTCATTCTAAATTAACATGTTAAAATGAAGAAATTCTACACCTAGAGGCTTTGATCATAAACGCCCTTTTGATGTGACTTATATAAAGTTTACCGAAATGGTTTCCACTTTCCAAAACGTTTTTAAACCCCCGGCCACCACAATTTTTCGAAATGTTAACATTTTCCGAATATAACTTATGGTGGTTTACTGTTTCTCAACCTGATGTTTGAAACATAAGGTTGATTTTCTGCACATTTGCAGAGACAAATGCCTTTGCCCCCGTTACCATTAGATTTTTGGTTGCAAATTCTTTTTTCTGCAATTGCATCACCACGACTAATTTGGCTTTGCTCCTAACTTTTTATTAAAGTTTCACCCTTATTAATGACTTAGATGGTAAAGTAGATTGATGAGCCAAGACTAGTGGCTCAGGGAATCAAATTTTCATTATTAGTCCAGTGACCAGAAATAAAAAGAAGAAGCTTTATCAGAGAAATTTCTAGTTCTGAAGGTTCTGTATTTCCAGATATAAACAGTGATTATTAGGTAGTTATGACAGTAATTTTCCCATTCTATTTAATCCAATCAGGTTTAGTGGATCTTCATCTTGTTTAAGTTTGGACTCAAGAAAGTACTCCTAGAAGGACCAAGAAACAGCATATTATTTATTTCTGCAAAAAAAAAAAAAAAAAAATTGCGGATACATTGTGGGGGTCAAAAACCCAGTGACAAATTGGCATGTGGAACTTAGGTTGACCTCTTTTGTGTAATAATGCATCCACTAAGAACTGAATCATGTCTAGACTGAGGAAGGTGTTATTTGTCTGTGGAGAATAAAGCTATTGATGTGGGGGCTCGAGTTAGGCTAGCTGATTGATATTTCTCTTTAATTTTGGCGCACAACTTCTCCACACTGAAGTTAGCTTTTCAGCCCAAAAGGTTGGCTCTATTTTGCACCTTTCTGTGCGTTGGCTGGTGCGAATGTGGGGATGATCGTAGTGGGTTTGTTTTGTCATTAGGCGATGAAATTTGTGAAGGAATGAATATTAGCAGATGTCTTAATTACATTTTCGAATTAATGAGTCCTCTTTGCTAAATAATGTAATAGCATAATTTGCATTTGCCTTACTTTTAGTTGCCCTTTTCTGGTTCCCTTTCCTATGTTTTTCTGCTTTTATATTTGGTTCTAATTTACAAGAAACTTGAAGCAGTCAGGCTGAACAACTTGGCCTTGTAAAGTAAATTCTCTCATTGATCTTATCTTGAACAATGTGCTACCTAGGGAGTCGTGGCCCCCCTGAAATAGCAGTCTTCCAGCTATATATATATATATATATATATATCTATCGCATGATACATTTCTTGAAAGTAGAAACCTTAGTTAATGGCTAAACAAGAACTGAACTTCCACTGCTGATTAAAATAGTCTGCCTTCCTCCTTTAATTAGGAGTTAGGAGATGGTTCAATTTGTGTTTAGGAAAGTAAAGCACTCGTCTTGCACTAACTCAATGGCAGTGTGGCCAGGTGTTTTCTACTATATATATATGTGTGTATTTGGCATTCTATTAGGAGATAAAAATTGTGGAGAGCAACTCACTTTCCATCTCAACCAATGCTTCAAGGATTTGACTTTTAGCGTGTGATATCTATTTACAGTTCAATGGTTAAAAAAAAAAAAAAAACAAGAAAACAATGTAGTTTTTTAGATCAGAAATAGAGAGCAGTTAACGAAGAGGTGCCTACTTTGGCTATCTTAATGTTGAAAGTTTCGCAAACTTTATTTAATGAACAAAAAGAATATCCCTACAAAACAATCCATCTTGACCAACAATAAGAACAGTGCATGAATTCAGAGATGCAGATTATATCAGTCTTAAATATAGTCATCCCTCTAAGTTTGATTAAACTCTGAATCGGTTATCAGAAAAGGCTAATGGTCTATATTTTTTCTCAGGCCAGCTTTCTGCCTTTTCAACAAATTAAAGTGCAAATCCAATGGTCTGCATTGGTGGGATTTTGATTAACTCCCTAATTTAGGATAGAGGTTTCCCTTGCAACTTTAAACAGCTAAAAAAGTTGAAGCACAGAAAACAGGACAGGAGCCAACTACGTGTATAAATAATAGACATCGACATACAAAAGAAGGTGTCCCAAAGGTTTCGAGAAAAATACAGCTAAATTTACCAGCTCTCTCCAAATTTAGCAGCAGCACATCTAAATGTTGACTTATATATTCAGCAAATTAGAACAATAGAACCAGGCACTTTCTAATAAGCGTCTTCAAGGAGAATGTGTTATTCTGAGATGAGAGCATACCTACAAAAAATGGCTCCTCAACTCTCCTCCTCTTTCATTGCTTTGGCATTGTTGCTTGCTGTTGCTTCGGCAAATTCTGGAGACCTGCATGAGGGTATGACTGATCTCGCTTGCACGCAATCTTTCTTCCACACAAACATACGCGTATTTTTGTCCCCATTTTTCTTCCATGAGAATGAAAGTTTATATATGGTAACATAAATATGTCATCATTTCTTCTTTTGAAACACAAAATTTATTTAACTTTGACAAGTTCTATGATCTTCGTTCACCTTTTATCTAATTGAAGCATTCTTCAAAAGAAGATGCATATCAAATTCTTTTTCTGTTGTTATGTTTTAAGTATCTAGCTGACTTTGATTCCTGGCAGTCTCTTCATTAGCATTCAGTTACAATGGTCAATATGGCCCTGCCAACTGGGGAAGCTTGAACCCCACATTCTCTGCATGCTCATCTGGGAAAGTTCAGTCTCCTCTCAACATTGTCAAGAAAGAGGCTGTGGAAAACAAAAATTTGGCACCCCTGACCAGGGATTACAAACGTGCAAATGCTACTCTTGTTAACAATGGCTTTAATATTGGGGTTTGTTCCTGAACTTGACACAACTTTGTTAATTTGACCTCAAGGAAATCCACTCTTTGGATGGGCTGACATATGTTGTGGTCGGTTAGGTTCGTATGAGCTAATGGAGAAAAATAGTTTGAAGCGATCTCCTCGGCAACTTCATATATGCTAATCCAAGATATCATTTGTTTTTCATAAATTTAAAGTGCTAATCAATTATTCTGAACGCTGAATGCTGAATTTTCTATATCCAGTTGCATTTCGAGGAGGATTGTGGAGTCTTGATTATAAATGATAAAAACTACACATTGAAGCAAATGCACTGGCATTCTCCTTCCGAGCATCAGTTTGATGGAGTCCGGTATGCTCTCTCTCTCTCTTTCTCTCTTGGCTCACAAATTGCTATCTAATGGCCTTGACCCTGTCTGCTTAAATTGGCCTTTTTTTTTCCTGAAATTTTTGAAAAATCAAGTCTGCATTAAACATGTGTACATGACCCATGAAGAAAAGGGAAAAAAATGTTCGATAAATAGTAGCATACACTGAATACAACTTAATTGCCGTTCTATATCTGCAGATATGCTGCCGAGCTTCATCTGGTCCACCAGGACGTTTCTGGCTCTATCGCTGTCGTGTCAATGCTCTACGAACTTGGCGATGCTGATCCATTTATCAGTAAGGTAGACTTCAGTCACAGTTTCATGTATACTAATTTTCAGTCATTGCCAAAGGACGTGTTCCAGTAATGCAAACAAGCAATTACGACACTATATTTCGTAGGTCGAAGAAAACATTCTTGTTCCTTCCTGGAAAAGTTCCATTTTCTTGAGGCAATCCCCTAAGATTCTGATTTTGTTCTGCATGAATAGATTGAAGGTCTAACTCTAACATCTCTTACAGAAAATTTTGACAAATAAAAGCTATTCATGGTTGCAGATTTCAGACAAGCTGGATGCTCTAGCAAAGGAGGCGTGTGCAGGCAATGAAGAAGCCCATATTCCTATTGGAGTCTTGGACAATAAACTCTTACGAAAAAATACCCGCAAGTATTACAGATATGTTGGTTCTCTTTCTACTCCTCCATGCAGAGAAAATGTGCTCTGGAACATTCTTGGAAAGGTAGGATATATATATATGTGTGTGTATGTATGTATGTATTTATATGAGTCCAGATACACACACACAAGCAGACTTTTTGATAATGACACACAAATATGCAGGTAAGAACAATATCCAAGAAGCAGGTAGAAGCCCTGAGAGCTCCATTGGGCGATGATTACAAGCAGAATGCGAGGCCTGTGCAGCCACTGAATGGAAGAAAGATTGAACTGTATAATGAATTTACCAACTAAAATTATTCCTACCGGAAACAAAATGTTCTTTTGGGGTCATATAAGCTTATGTATGTAATATGATAGACTAATTTACCAGCATAGATCATTTCCATGACATGCCAATTGTGTCTGAAGATGTAACTTCACCCCGAATTTCTGCGTAAAACATTTTAGCTCTACAATTAATAAAGAGGCATGACAAGCTAATTACAATTACTTTTACTTCGGCTTGAGGGTTTCAGGCCTAAAATAACAGTGCATATAAAGCTGAAAACAATTTTTTTTTTTTTTTACTCTAATTCCAAGCTAACTTTAGTTAGTGATGTGTACCGTGTTCCCTACATTCCTGATATTTCCCAAAACTTGAAAGCAACAGAAATTGTCCCAACTTATTAATCACTCAATCTCTGCTTAGAAAACCGGCAATTTAATGGTCTGTGATCCACAGCTTGTAATTAATTGAAGAAAAAAACAGGTTGCCAGTAGAGAATAAAACAGGCTGGTCGAGAAAAGTCAACACGATTAGATTGGAAAAATCAAGCAAAGAATTGCTTTTGCCTGTTTGCTTTGATGTATATGATCTTCTACTTACTGCTTATGAGTCAAATTTGCCAACTGTGTTCAAAATTCCATTAGATATTTAAGAGCAATTCGTTGACAGAAGTTCCCTAGTCGAACAATACGACATTGAATTACTCGTCCCCACATTGTGATGAAGTTTCGAGAACAAGAATATTGGACTAATAGGTGTTATTCATTGGAAACAATGTAGAGCCTTGATTGATTGAACCGTCAGGTTGGACTTCGGGGCTACACCCTTGTTTAAAAATTAGGAGTTGGTATTCTGGTTTTTGAATTTAAAACTCAGAAATAACAAATCCAAACCCCCCTTCCCCTCTGGCTACTAAACTCCAAACAACCATCACTGTTGAGAATTTTGATGAGGTTTGGATTTTTTTACAATTGTTATCTGTTGGGAAGATAAGCCCGCAGACAAACACCCTAAAAAAAAAAAAAAGAGTTGATGAGTTTGGGCTATGATCAAGCTGGAGGCCCATTTAACAAGTTGATGAATAGATTTCTTGGTTTGTTGGTGACTAAAATTACCATGATAGGAGTATACGATGATAGGTGAAGCAGTCAAGTTGAAAGACAAATGGCTTTGGTGAAAAACAAACTTAGTCAAGATTCTAAACCATTCGCACAATGGCATTGGCATACACCACAGAAGTCAATAATGACGATTATCCTTCCAAAGGGTTTCTCTCGGTTGTAAGTTATGATTACCCGACCCACCTAACCAGGAAAGAAGATAAGAAAATTGAACGAAACGACTTGCTTATCTAAGAAAACGTCCAGGTCGAGAACATAATCATTAAACGGATGCCAAGATCAAACTCACCCCATTTTTCAAGTTACTAATCCTACTGCTAAGTTTTACCATAGAGTTAGACAGTTCACAGTAGCTTTCCTCACAAAAATTCCGGCATTGCGCTACGCTAAATAGTAAGAAAACTCATTTTGGTGACTTTTTCTAATCTTGCTCAACAAACCCTTGTAGAACTCAATCTCACCTTGATACAGAAGTCATCAAAAGTAATTGAGAGATTCCTTGAATTGGTATGACCTTCAAAATTCCATATTTTCTAAGTCTTTATCTAGTTGATCAAAGTTAGACCATACAAATGACTGCTTATTTGCCTTACTCCTTTCTTTCAAATGAATATATAAGATCTGAAAAGGATGGCCAAATTTTTCAATGCAAAAGGTGTTGCATAAGAAATTTTGACATACAAGATCAAAAAAATAATATTTCATGCATTTAACCCCCTGAAAATGATAATGTTTCAGCATCCTTGGAGACAAATCGCAACTATCCAAAGATATAGTCTTCATTAACTACATTATTATAACAAAATTTACACTCAATATATATATACAAGACCTAATTGTATCACTTTCGAAAACCGGAAAAAAAAATAAAACAAAAATAAAACAAAAGAGCAAAATCACGAACCTTTTAAAAAAAAAAAAAGACAAAAAGACGTGGAAAGGTAATAACTGTAGTTACCGCGCTTGTTAATTCACCGTGCCACGTCATCCTAACCGCAATTCAAACTTTGAAACCCCACAGAAGATACCCAATCAGGACCGCAACCAAAACCGCTCCCCCCATTTCCTCTTCCCTGGACCCCACCGTTTCCTTGACTCAATCCGATCACGCCACGTCAATTTCAACGCTCCACGACTCCGATCTCCTCCCGGAAGCAAACCTCGTCATTCCTCCCAAACCAACAACCGGCTCCCCGGCCACCGGTTCCATTCCAACGCTCCTTCTTGCTGGTGCCTCTCTATCACTCGCCGGCAACCGATCCCTAATATCCATCGATTTCTTAAACGTATAGCTCTCGCTAACCGATCCACCAAACGACGTGCCGTTGCCACTCTTCAGTGATATATCTTTATTTTTGCTCTTAGACCTGAAAATTGCTTTAAAACTGGCAAAGAAACCTGTTTTTTGCTTCTTGTCCTTTTTAGTACTTTCCTTCTTTCCGATTGATTGAAAAGATCGTTGCTCTTGTTGTTGTTGCTTTTGTTTCCGCAATCTACGGTTACGATCTTTCTTCGATCTTACTCTTCCCATACATGATACTTTAGGTGAAGACGGTTCAATCATACCCGTCGAATCCGATTTACCGGTCGAACTGGACCGTTTAGGAAACAATCGTGTTTTTCCAGGTTTACAGTTACGGCGATTCTTTGCGTCAACAACGAAGGTTGATTTCTGTGTCTTTGGTAAGCCAATGATGGACGCTTTTGTGTGTAAGCTAGAGAAACGCTGTGAATTGGAGGGGTTAGGATTGGGATTAGGAATGATGTTCGGGTTTAAGTTTGTGGAGTTTGAGCTTCCTTTCGTGGAGTCTTTGCGTTCGTAGTAAGCGTTGGTGCTGAACCAGTCGAGTTCGGCATCTTTGGAAAGCCAGAAGGATTCTGGCGGGAAATCTGGTGGTACTTCGGCGAGATCAGGGGAGTCTGGTTGTGCAGGTGGTTGGGAATGGTTATTGTTGGTGTTGGTGGTGGTGGCGGCGGCGATGGTTTCACAGGCGATTTTGCGGTCGCAGGAGCCGCCGGCGCAGGCTGAGACTAGAGTTTCAAGATCCACTTGTGGCATCGTCCGTCCGTACAGTGAAGAAAAAGTATCTTTTAGTAATTTTGGAGGGAGAGAGAGAGATTAATTGGAGGGGAGGAGATTATAATCGGAGGGGTTTTATAAAGGATGTGATCATGTAAATATTAGAGGGAGAGTAAGGTTTTTTGGAGGGAGAGTTTCAAGTTGTTGACTACTAAAGCAAGCAAGCACTCAGTTTTACGGAAAACAAAAACCTTTCAACTTTTAAGACAAATAAAAACGCTACAATTAAACCGTATTTTCTAATCAATTTTTCGCATCTTCCTTACTTCTTCTCTTCTTTTTTTTCCTCAAGTTTTTTGGGTCAATTGCATTTGTTTTCTTTTTCTAAAGACGGAAGGAAAATGTTGATTCGGGTAGCGGCATTAGGCAGCCGTTCTTCCAATTTCTTCAACCTGCTTTAATTTTTTTTTAATTTTAATATTTCTTTTTTCTTCTTCCTGAGAACTATAAGATTAATAATTTTTTTTGTTTTTTCTTTTATTTTATTAATAGCTTGGCTGGCTAACAATTGTTTTTCTAATGGCTCCGCTCATAAGGATGAATTTTTTTTTCTCTCTTTTTCCTGTTATGAATATTTTATATGAATGGATCACAATAATTAGAATTTTGAAACCAAATCAATTTTTTTTCAATTAAATTACCACTATATTTTAGAAATAACTATTTAATATTCAAAAAATTGCACTTCCTCTTTTTTCTTATGAAAGTAAAATCTATAGATACATGTTAGATCTCAAATCTAGATAAACAAAGGAGTACAACTTCTAAAATATCAAATAATTAATTTTTTTGTACCTAGATTGTCTATGCTTCATCAGCATAAAAAAATTATCTATAGATTCCAATAATTTGACTCGCAATATGCATGTTTTTCCCCTTAATTCTCTAATTAATTTAGAGAATGTTTGACGAAATCCTTCTTCTTTTTTCTGAAAAATTAATGTCTTTTGTTGACACAAAGATTAAAAAGACTATTTTTTTTTTTAAGTGAAAGATATCTTTATATTCACAAAAACATCATTTTTCCTTTCCTTTTTGCATTGTTAAAAATTCAACAGGGCCAATCACAAAATCCAAAAAACATAATGCTAGTTTTTTTTTTTAAAGTAAAGAAAATGGAATGTTATACATATCAAGTTGATATATATATATATATACCACGGCCGATTTACCTCAAGGTGCAAATATTTTATCAAAAACGTTATCGAAGTTTTTTTTTTTTTGGTTCCTTAAGTTGTAGTCAATTAATCCAGTATTTTATATATAGGCGAATATTAGGTCCATTTTGAATCAACCACAGCGGATCCATTACATTAGCAAACCTAGCTACTTCTTTATGGACCGCTCTTACTAAACCTAACACTTAAATCGAATGCTTTTATTCTTTCACAAGGATCATATAAATGCATGAGGATGACAACATACAATTTATAATTAATATATTTCATTCCTACCGTATTAGCCAAGCATATACATGTTGGAAAATCAAGACTGCCCTAAATGCACCGACCAACTTATTGCACTATTTGTTAACCAACAAGTATAAATAAGTAGTACTTCTTCATTTGTAAACAGTAAATTCTATAGTATACGATCAAAGTGAATGCGTGTAGTGTGTCATAGACACAACTGAGAATTAGAGAGTTTGAGTTTTGTGTTGAGTGGTAGAGAAAATAAATGAGGTTTCATGAGCTTAGTTAGAGAGTAGTGTGAGAATAATATTTGAGTGTTTGTATTTATTAGTGTGTTACGGATAAATTATAGTGATATTGTGAGAGTTATTATAATCATATTACTAGTTTATCATTATTAGTAGTATAATAAATTTATGTTTCTATTTAAGACTATTAAATTGTATCACTCCAAACTTAACAAGTGATATCATAGTTTAATGGTAAAAAAGGACATGTTTGAGCTTGACGATCGGGAGGGTTGTGTCGAGCTAGTAGTCCGGGACCATCATTTAAGCAAATTAGTTTTGCTTCTTCACAATCGAGAATTGTAAAGTTTATCAATCAACGATCGAGATTCTACATGGAGGAGATCAAGTTCACTTACAATCATGAATTGTAGAGTTATTGATCCGGGATCAAACTTGGTGATTTGTAAGGAGACAACACCAAGTCATGATGATGGATCTCAATATAACGGGAAGTATTAAAAGGCTCAATAACAAAAATTAATGACGGACATGCATGGAGTCATTTCGCAAAGATAAGATTTATGGGAGATAATCAATGGAAATGATGCTAAACCACTGGAAGAGATTGCTTCACTTAAGAAATGGAAAGCAAAAGTAGGAATAGCGATGTTTATAATTAAATGTCTATTAAGGAGGAGATGTTGGATCACATTAGGCATACCACCACACCTAAAGAAGCATAAGATATTATTGCAACTTATTTTTCTTTTAAAAAATGATATGACACTTTAGCTATTAAAGAATGAGTTGATGTCTACCACATAATGTGACAAGACAATCAATAACTATTCTCCAAAAGTAAAATCTCTATGTTGGAAGATTTTTGAGTTAGAACCAAAATTCAATATTGGAGATGATAGAGTGAGGAGAGTCATCATCCATGAGTTAAAACCTAAGTATAGAGGTATTATCAATTAAGTTCAAGAATGGCCCGTCCAACCATCGCTCGAAGATTTGGAGAACCCATTGGCCAACAAAAAAACTTTAACCATGTACATTTTTGAAGTTTTGCTAAAAAATAAAGAGGAGACAATAGTCAATAATAAAGGAAAAGTTCAACTTTGAACTCATTATATTAGAAAAGAAAAGGTAGAAGGATGTCAAAGGAAGCCAAAGAGATGACAAGATGGAACTATAGATTTAGGAAGAGCCCAACAACATCAACAATAAGATAATGATCAAGATGACCGATAAAGAAGATACTAACAAGATGAGATTAAGTGCTAGACTTAGGCAGGAAAGGGCATATAGCACAAAATTGTCAATTCTACAAAAAAACTAGTTAAAGGAAATATTGCAACATCAAGCAAACAAAAAGAAGAATATGATAGTGAAAAATAGTGTGATATAGAGGCACATTTGTAATGAGTCATGAAGAATATGACTACGAAGAAAAGAGGAACATAGAGAGGTCATTTGCACTAACAACATTAGTGAATGAAGATAATTTCTCAAAAAAATGATATATTATATTGCCATAAATAAAGGCGAGTAAAAGAAGAGGAGTGGTTAGATGAAGATGATAATTTGGTGAAAAGTAATACATTGAAATATGAAATATGAGGTGATGGAAGAGCATAAAAGTCCAACCGGTAAGGAAGAGTTAAAAAAAAAAAGTTTTTTTTGCAAATCAATATGCATTGTGAAGCTCAACCCACAATTGGTGAGGAAAATACAATACAATCACAAGTGTTAGAAGTATTGCGAGTCATAAGTATTAGTGAAAAAAAAACTCAAGTATTAGAGCCAACAACACATGAAGAGACACCGAGGAATGTTAAATGGCTAGAAGTCATAGAGGAAGAAATGCACGTCTTCAATTATAAGGCGAATGATGTCTTATGGGAGAAACTTGATGACTTTTGCTAATAGGTTGATAAGCTAAACTTTATAATGAAATATTGAATTTAATAAATTTACAATAAAAGAAAACTATAAATATTTATAAATAGACGCTCCAAAATGTTATGGATTCTTTTCGATGCTCCAAAATGGTTGAAAAGCAATCTATATTTCAAAATCTAAATTAGACAATTAAAATTATTGAATAGGGTTAATCTACTATTGATCCTAGAAGAAAAAATTAATACGACTTATACTAGAATGCAATGACCTAAGAATCTCTAGAGAATGTTCTAAGCTTCCTAAAAAGTCCGAGTTGTAAGTTTGGAATACAAATATATGATAAAAATAATAATTGAAAGCTAATATTAAACATATGACAACAATATCTCTATTCAAAATATAAATTAACTTCTATTAATAACAAATATATTAATTGTAGGTTGCAACATTGAATATAAACTATAATTGATAAGTATTGAATTAAAAATCTTTACAAATGATAATAAATCTAGAAATATAAAGATTTATAAACATAAGAACTGATGAATAAATACCAATTAGAAATTCAAACATCAAGATATGGGATTTGCATATGTTGCAATGAAAATGGCAATCGAATCAAAGATGATCCATTACCTTACTATTACTCGCTACTTGATTATAACCTACTTAATTATTATTCACAAACTATAGGTCGTTGTATTTTAAGTGTTGAAATGATTTGAAAGATAGTGTTGATAATTTATAAGAGTCTTATTGTTGTATTATGTTTTTTATGTATATTTTTTCCTTTATTGTAATTGGTATTTATAGGTTCCTCGCCCTTGCATGATCTCGTTATAGTACTCTATGATATTTTATAATGCTCTATGATCTTCAATAGTAATCTATGTTCTATTGTGACTTTCTATTCTTGAGTTGTAATACTTTATATTTTATCATTATCTTGATCATGTTTCATTTTATTCTATAACTACTCATTTTTCTCCTAACAATTAGGTAGCATAGCCCATATAGTCATCTTGTTATAACCGAATCCTTTATATGTTAGGAAATCCAAATTTAGGTATAATATATGCCCCGCTCTTTTTCATATGTGAGTGTTTACTTTATGTGTAGAAAAAAATCTCATTATGAATTCTTATTGTTTTTTAAAGTTTCTCTTAACTTTATTTATATATGCACCTTATTTATCATTCAATCTAAAAGTTTTTTTAAAATCTATTACTTTGGATTGTCACGTATAAAACAAAGCTTTAAGGTGGATACTAAAATACAAGACCTTAAAACTAAGGTCATGACATCTTATAAAGAGTTAAAATTTATTGAGCTAACTTCTCATAACAAAAAGATCAAACTCCTATAATTTCAACAAAAATCGCGACTCTATAGACTCAAATGAGAGTTCTCTCATTATGTAAACGATGATGGG